CATAATTGGGTCATTTGAATTTTTTGAAGGAACCAAATAACTCAATTTCTTTTTTCGTTGATAAACAAGTCAAAAGTCTCGAGCAGATGGCCCCTAATAAACTATTTGCTTGTAGATGAATTGATATGACTTTTCTAATTGATATGATTTTAATTCTTTATTCCCTACTATTACTGATGAATGATATTGTCCAGCGAGAAAATAATGAATAATAAATTATGAAAAACATCAAAATTTATATATTCTGTATTTTGTATTGTACTCATGTAATTTTAAGATAGCAACCCATCTATAAACCTTCAATACTAAGTTCTAATATATCCGTATAATATAGACTTGAAGTCTATTATTAAAAGTGATACGATCATATTTGATTAACTCGTATCACTTAAAAAATGAAAGAAAGGAGTTAAAGTTTGCGAACTAACAACAAGGGTATTGAGTGCTTCTAACTAGGTTCACTTTACTTTAATCAAGTGTGACAACATCAAACTATTTTCCTAAGAAAATGGAAGACAAATTAATAAAGTTATATTAAACTAATAAAACATAAAACTTATTAAGAATAAAGTCTTTTCACTAACTTGATGAACAAGCATGCAACTTCCAAGCATATCGCTAAGCATGCAAGCTTATATGGCATATGGTCGTATTCTTATACCAAATACATAGTGACAAATAAAAAATTAATATTTATTTTCGGCTTATTCTTAAAAATAAAGAGTTTAAGTCTAAGAGATACACAATAGAGCTTCTTCTCGTGCAACATATCGCAACACACTTATTAGTAGAGTTAGAATGCAAGAGAATATGCTCGAAAGTGATCGAGGTGCGTGCCTTTCAATGCTAAGGATGATTGCCTTCTCACAATATATGATTTTCGAAAAATCTGATATCAAGTTCTTGGGCTAGTATCGTGAGCATAATATACGCATATCGCTTACTGATAAACTTTTATCGCTCTTAGCTACGTACATACCCACATCCACCCATGGTGCCAATGTCCCTAATGTTCATCATGTACCATGACTTAAGTCCCAATATAAGAAAATTTGTGTATCAGAAAAGGTTATCATTTTGAAATTAATATATATGGTAAAATATAATAAAATATTTTATAATTGATAGTACAACAACAACCGTACTCTTAACTAGTATGTACTCATGTTAAAATCTATTATTTTAAACTAGTATACAGTCATATAGTATACACTCATATTAAAATCTTATATAACTAATACCTTACATATTTGAGGTTTCTTGTAACGAATTCAATTTTATTTTACAAGGATCTAAATTAGAAGAAAGAGATTGGAACAAAATAAAAAAAAATGATAATACACAGAGTAGGGGAGAGATGAACGTACATATATATTAGGAATAGAGTCGATAGTAAGATCAAGCTTTGTTCTTTGGTCAGATTGATTGAGTAGAGCTAAAAATTGTAAAAACAAATTTAGTTTAAACAATCGTTCTATCTAACAAAGTTAAACATACTACTACCATCATTCTTTTAAAAATATAAATTTTGTTTGAAGTCATCTATATTTTTCTCTGTCTTCAATAAGATATCAATAAAATAGAGACACACAATGCAATAAAAAAACATACCAACAATCTATATGGAATAGGAATGTTCAATAAACGAAATAAAAATTAGGATAACCTTTGTTATATAACATCTTAGTAAAATAATGCAACATCTTACTACGTCACAAAATTAATATATGGTAAGTACTATGTGCAAGAACAAAATTGAGTAAACTTACATCTAACTAGTAGTAAAATCTTTAAATATAACTTGCTAAAAAGCTAGCACACCTACATAATTGGAGTTTCTTAATAGACATATTGGGATGTGATTATGTTATGAAAAAATCATTAACACGAGATTTATCGTTGGTCAATTTTTTAAAACAGATTAATTAACCATCTCATGACAATACTGTTGAACGTTGGTTCCTCACCTTAATTGGAAGGTTCAAGACCATTTTCTTTTTTAATCCGAGTTGTGCCACTTTAGAAGTCAGACGCGAACTCTATTTCATGCGCTTAATGAAGTCTTTGTTGAAGGAGTATGAAGTTGGAAATGAAAGCTAAGTGTGGTTGAACGAGTATATATGAAGTTGGAGCATTACAATTGCTTGAAGAGTGTGAAGTTTTTTAAACTACTAGATTTAATTGAATAATTGAATTGTCGTTGTTGTAACAGGTTAGCTGCTCCTGAATGAAAGTGTATTGAAGTATGGATAAGAAGATTTTGCTACAAATTTAGTAGGTTGAAATGTTTTTTTTTTTGCTGAATAATTAATTGTAGAAACAATCTGAAGCATATTGACAAAGTCTTATTATTTGAAAGAAAGCAAATATAAGTATAATTTTGCAATTAATTATTTAGGTATGACTCTCATTATAATATCTAATTGGGTTTGAATTCATTACAAGTTGGCTCTTTTTTTAAGGGTTTGCCCATTTCTCAATTCTCATTGTCATTTTTCTTGGTTACTTGAGCAAATAAAATCCACCATCAATCCTCCCACACACATATAAGTAAGTTCCCGCTGAGCACCTACACAATTTAACTTTTCCCGACCTCCTCACAAAAGGGAGAACTTAGGATTTAAGAGTCTTTATGCATCTCAATTTTGGTGCATGAGTTATATTGGGAGGATATCACTTGGACTTTTATTCAGTTTTTCGCAGCCACTAAATTTTATAAATTTATAAGTACGAATAAATATTAAAATAAGTCATTATTAGTTTATTTTCTTAAAATACATGTACTAAATGCGTGTTTTAATGTGTGAAGTATCACACCAAACAAAAAATAAAGAGACAACTCTATAATAGTCCGTAAAAGATAATTACATTATGTAAGAAATAACTATCACTCTGTAACGTTTATGTAATGGATGTATACATTTTGTAACAGTTGTAAAATGTCATCACAAACGTCTTACGTAATGGAAGGTTCTTTTACGAAATGAATGTTAACCTCACATTATGTAAAGTGCTAAATCATTACGGGCGTCTTATTTTAATGCTTTTGATTTAGCTTTCACATAAGAATTAACTATCATTTCGTACATATACGAAATGAATGTTTATTTTACGTAACGATTTTAAAGTATCATTGTGAATCCAAACTTGAGTTGTGGTTGTGGATACAACCAAATATGAGTTTGTTGTCTCAAAGGTCGGATTTATAGAGTTAATGTTGAAAAGTTATTAAAAATAACGGAAGAATAATACATCCTCTCACTCATTTCTTATTAAATGGAGGAATGGAGCATTTACAAAAAGAAAATTGGAACGAAGTTATTCATAAAAAATGGAATGGAGTTGAAGTTGCACTTTAAGCTTAGTGATTACAATATCACAAATCCCATAGCTGAATTAACAATTTCGAAGATAATCAATTATCTCCAACAACATTTGTGACTTTAACTAGGTAAATTCTTTTGTCATGAAAATAATATTTCATATATGGTTATGTTTTATTTTTTAATTTGCTTACTAGAAAATGTAAAAAAAAAAATGTTTGTTGATGATATAGATAGTGCAGTTGATGATGGAGATTCTTGATGATAAAGAAGTGATACCATTCATCTTCGAATACATATAACATTGTGTCATTAAGTTCGTTACGAATTGATATCCCCTTGCATGAGTCCTATCATTTTAATTTCAACCAGAATATGCACAAGACGCTGATTACAATGTAGTGACGTGTATGTTGGATGCTCATTTTCTATTTTCTCGGCAATTGAATAATTTGACTGTCTTAATGGTAAAAACTAAGAAACTACGTACCTTGTTGTGCTGTAAAATTGATACCATTATTTGTTAATTTGTACGACATATTATCATATAATCGTGGAACCAATATAACTATACAAGACAAGAGAAAGATTACTGAAATTAAAACTAGAAACATTCGTTAGTTAATTACTGTTATCATATTGCAAAATGAATAAATATCGCTATTTGTTAATTCCCATGACATTTACCTATTATTATGGCACAAATTTAAAGAGAAGAGCATACATTTAAATTTGAAACCTTTGTTAATTACTTGCTTGGGCCGGTACAATCTAGTCTGGTATTACCCATGACACGTTTATTATAGCCATCTCCTTAATCATGAGATTAGGGATTAGTCCCTCTCCATAGAATAAATTAATAGAGATCATTTTATAACAAGACGTTATGATCACTGTTGTTGATAGTAAACCTTCCAATTAATATAAAAACAAAGCAATGTGATTGTTAGAACGGACGAGGATAATCGACAATGTAAGAAAGCAAACAACACGTAGATTCACGTGGGTCGCCAAAACAATGTGTGTTAGCTAGTCCACGGACAGGAGAGAGAGCAAGTTTCACTATAGTTGAGCAGATACATATTACAATGTTTTCAAGTCGACGGCAGAAAATCTGATTCAAATCATATCAACTGTGATATTTCATATGCATACTAGCTTCAGTTTTTTTTATGATTCGTCCGCATCAGCAAACCACAAAACTTCTTAAAAAGTGATTGGGGGAAATTATCTTAAGCGTTCTCATAAAAACACTATAGATCATCATCATGATCTTTTTCTGGTGTAAAAGTAAGCATACCATTACTCTCCTTACAAGTATGTCACACAAACCGTTTTTCACATTGGGAATATTTCATTTGCTTTAGGAAAAGAATAACTCCAACAACAAGCTACACATCGTTCATCGGCTAGCTGGCTGTAGCTTTGTTGTCGACATTCCATTGAATTCCTTGCTTCCATATCCATCAAACAACAGCAGTAACTTTCCTACTATTACCAACTCCCTTTTAACCTACGACAGCATAACAACTAGCGTCGTAACCAATATAGTCAAAAGCGAGTTTCTACATTGGTCGTAACTACAAAAGCTTCAGGACGATCTTAAACTTGAAGCTTCCTCTAGCTTTCAGCGTTAAATTATACAAGCTCTCTTAGGAAAGGAAGCACGAGAGCATTTTTGTTTTTGTCTTTAAGAAAGGGAAAAGAAAACCAAACCAGAGGAGAGGAAACCTCTGCCGGCTTTTTTTGCCGGTGATGAGAAAGCAGACGACAAACGCCAAAGCCTGGCTCTCCGGTTCAAACCCCAGCACCTCAACCACCAACATTGCAGCCGCCGGCCAAGGTAATTCCCACCAAGATTGTCACGATATGCTCTTGTGTTTCATTCCTATATATAGCCTGTTATCCTAAGAAAAAATCCTTAATATAAGCCCGAATAGAGCGTTTATCCTGAATTTATCGGATATTCGTCCAAACATATGTACTTGAGAAATGACTGAAGTAATAAGATACGAGGATTAGCAATACGTTGTGTTACGAGGTTTAACTCCTACCCAAATATCAATATCGGGAAAAAAGGATCAGAAATCCGAACTCCACAATTATATGAAATCGTCGGATATTTCGAGATAATCGACATCTGTCGCCCCAGACCAAACTATTTTATGGTACATTCTGAACTTGTAACTTTTTGACGAAAACGGTCTATTATTCGATCTCTTGTCTGCAGATGAGGACTACATCCGGAACCTCCCGCTCTACCGCGCCCTCGACTCCGGCGACTGGGAAACAACAAAGCGCCTCCTCCACCGCCACCCGGACGGGCCCGTCCCCGCCGCCACCGCCAGCCTGTCCCCCGACGGGGACACGGCACTCCACGTGGCGGTGCTGGCGGGGCACGAGGGGATCGTGGAGAGGCTGGCGACGGAGGTGCTGCCGAAGGAGGCGCTCATGATGAAGAACAAGAGCAGCGCCACCGCGCTCAACTACGCGGCCATCGGCGGCGTCACGGGGATCGCCGATTGCCTCGTGAGGAAGGCCCCCGAGCTCCTCCGCGTCCCGAACCAGAACGGCCACATCCCCGTCGTCGTGGCGTCGCTGTACGGCCACAGGGAGATGGTGCGGTATCTCTACCACGCGAGCCCGAAGGACGATTTGGTCGGCCATGGCGGGAGTAAGATCAATGGTGCCATGCTTCTTACGACTTGTATCGTCGATGGACTCTACGGTATGCGTGATTTTTTTTTTTCAGTTTGCCAACATTAATTACCCTATAATCGTTATGTACATTAATACTTGTGCATATAATTAACATATATGGGTGCTTAATTACTCTTTCCTGATTGAGATTCATTTTTTTCAGTTTACCATTTTGAATTATTGGTTATGTGACTTAGTCAACAATCATAATGATTAACGAATTAAGCACCCAAAATTTAATAATTTTACAGGGCTGAAAAATGGCTTGACCCGACTCACGAAGGGTCCGTGTATGTAACGGACTTACTCGTTACTCCACCCCTGTTTTCTTCTTGACACTATCCGACCCTCTAGCTAGAGTCGGGTGAGTCAAGCTAGCCAATACTGAAAATTATACTTTGATATCCATAATTATTTTTTCTTACAATTTAGTACATTTTTTTTGCATATAGGTACATAAATGTCAATGATAAGACTGTATTTTAGTATCAATATTTTTTATAGTACCTACACTTTAAAAAATTTACAAATAAGTCTAGCGTGTTGGAATGATGAATTTCATATCAATACTATGACAAAGTCTAAATAGTAAACTTGACTCTGTCCGACTCTTATAATAAGAAGATAACCCGATCATAAACCGCCCTTGTAGTCTGTAGACATTGACCCAGTCCGACCTTATGGATTTGGTGCGAGCCACTAGTGTTAGTGTGTGGTATATGATCCACGATTGAACCTCTCCCAACAACTCGAGTTATTGGGATCAACTGGTTCTTGACATGATATCAGAAGCTAGAACCGAAAATCCACCAGCTAAATCAGTTCTCTTTATATAAACAAACCCATACACACTTGTGTTGCAGATATTGCACTGGACTTGCTTCACTGCTACCCGCAACTGGCGTTCACTCAAGACAGTGACAAGGACACAGCGCTGGAGGTGCTGGCTCAGACGCCGTCGGCGTTCCCCAGCGGAGCTCCGCTTGCTTGGTGGCAATGGTGGATCTATTCCTGTAAAGCTTCAATTAATCCAGTTCTTAAACGATTAATTAGTTTGAGATTAGTGTTAATTAATCATGCTTTATTGATTACTTTGGGGGGGAAAAGCAGTTATACGGGTGCCTCACATTGCGTCGCTTAACATTGTCTCCGACGATGGAGATGTTGACGATAAGAGACCAGAAACGGGCAGGAAGAGAACCATATTGAGACAAGGTATATTCCTTCTTTTGTGGATGATAAACAAAGGTATATTCCTTGATTATGAATAATCACTACTTAATTAATTGGAGATTAGTTTATGTAATAATCATGTCCATTTCCTCTTATTTTTATTTTCTGTAATGTTTTGCAAATTTTTCAGCACTCCGTCAATTATTGGTCGTCTTCTCCAGGAGCCTCAAGTATCTAGGTAATCATGTGATAATTAATTAAGTACTGTACTTTGACCTAACACTAAATCACCATATCCAGTTGTGATTGTTTATATGGAATTTGGGCAATACATGCTATGGAAGATTCATCCCTTATTTTTGTGTATGATAATTGCACACAATGCATGCATTTAATTTTATGCCACATTGCTGAAATCGTTTATTTTAAAATTAGTCATTGAGAGCACGTTAGTGGAGTAAGGCGACGCATGCGTGTCGCTTGCACATAATTAGACGGAGCTAGGCATTCGATTATCAGAAGGGGGAATTAGTCTCATCTACCGTTGAAATCTTCTATATCAATCTTTTCAATAGTTCAAGAACTTTGTGAGCTGTTGAGCTATGATTTTATGAACTTGTGAGCTTATTTTCTCATTCTTAAGTGTTAATTAAGTTATTAATCATTTTGAACTGAAGTGTAACAGTTTGGTACAATTAATATTTCATTCATTATGTAGTACCAAATGCTATTTTTGCTTCCAATGCATAGACACGTATAGTCGACGTCTAAACGAGTAGGTGAGGCCCCAACACTCGCGCTTAGCTTGAACTTTATCTATAATACGTGCATTAATGAAACCACATTACATATGCACAACTATCGGTCCATCGTTGATTTTGAATAGTAAGTCATAACAAATTAATAACATTTTGAATAGTAATTAACTAATGATTAAAATATTAGGCATCATTCAACCAACACTAATTGTACCTACTACATGTCTACATCAAACCAACCCTTTGCTTAATGGTTGGAGTTTTATGTTTAACAAATACACCACCATACTATTGTATTTTAACAATCACGTCCTTGCAATAAGCTAAAGGCTAATACGCCTAACAAAATGATGTTCTTAAGAATGTGTGTTGTTACAAGTTGTCATATATTAACATTTTTTTGTTTATGCTAATATGGTCAACACAGTTCCAGGATTCAAACGTCTCTACGACCTGAAACTGACCCACGTCCAGGCCATCGAGCTCCTCCGGTGCCTGTGCCAGCAGATCTCGACCCTGTCCGAGTCAGAATTCGAGAAGACGGGGATTCAGAAGGCCCTGTTCGACGCCATCGAACACGGCATCGTCGAGCTCATAGTGGAGCTCATCAAGCAGTACCCGGACATCGTGTGGCGAGAGGACAAGAGCCAGAGGGGGATCTTCCTGTGCGCGACGCTCCACCGTCAGGAGAAAATCTTCAACCTCATCTACCGGATGGGCGCCAAGAAGAACGCCATGGCCACGCCCTGGGACGTGAACCACAACAACATCCTGCACCAGGCGGCGTTCCTGGCCCCGCTCTCCCAGCTCGACCGCGTCACCGGGGCCGCCCTCCAGATGCAGAGGGAGCTACAATGGTCAGTAACTAACACGACAAAAATGTGTCATCATATCACAGAAAACAATAGTTTGTTTGAAAATCGGATAGCTCCATTAGTACGAAACTTTGTCTCGCTAAATTACAATGCAATTCCACAGGTACAAAGAAGTGGAGAGCATTGTTCAGCCGAAGCAGAGGGAGATGAGGAACCTGTCTCACGACACGCCGAGGACTCTGTTTACCAAAGAACACAGAGGGTTGGTGGAAGAAGGCGAGAAGTGGATGAAGGAAACGGCGACGTCTTGCACGGTGGTGGCGGCGCTGATCGCCACCATCATGTTCTCTGCTCTGTTCACACTCCCCGGCGGGTTCGACCAGTACACGGGGCTACCCCTCTTCCTTCACCGCAGCTCCTTCATCGCCTACATCGTCTCCGACGCCGTCTCGCTCTTCTCTTCGACGTCATCGATGCTCATGTTCCTCGGGATGCTGACGTCGCGGTACCGGGAGGAGGATTTCCTCCGGTCGCTGCCGATGAAGCTGATCATCGGGCTGTCGACTCTGTTCTTCTCGATGGCGACGATGATGATGACGTTTGGGGTGGCGCTGATGATATTTTTGAAGGAGAGGTTCGATTGGGTTTCTTTTCCGATCATGTTGCTGGCCAGCGTTCCGGTGACTCTGTTTGCGCTGCTGCAGTTTCCCCTGCTCGTCGACATCTTCTTGTCGACGTATGGGCCGGGGATCTTTGACAAGCCGAACAAGCGAGGCCGGTTTCTTTGAGCTTCATTTTTTCCACATCATATTGGCATTATGTAATTGCTACCTTAATTACCTTGAGCAACTATTTAGGATGTAGTTAAGAATAAATAGCTAGTTATGATCTTGTTTAAACATGTAACTTGGTTACCTCTGCACAATTGTCACAAACGTACATCCCAGAGCGTACGATCTAACGATTATGAATCATGCTAGAACATACTTTTGGTTTCGATAGATGTATGACTGTAGCCAGAATGAAAGGAAAAAAAGGGGGTTAATTGCATGGTTGGTCACTGAGATTACAAAAACGTTCATGTTTGGTCACTGTAAATATTTAAATCCAATGTTGATCACTCAAATTAGTTAAATGGTTCAAGTTTGGTCACTCTCCGTCCAACTCCGTTAAATTTGTCTGATGTGGCAGTCAACCCTCAAAGTTGACTGTTAACTCAGTGACGTGGCAATTAAAAAATAATAAATAAAATAAATTTTAATTTTCCACTATTTCCAACTCATTTTCACATTAAAGTAAAATAAATAAAACAAAAAATATTATAATTACAAATAAAGAGGCGCTTCCTCCCTCTCCCTCCTTAACAACTCCATCAACTCCTCCCTCCCGGCGGCTTCCCAGTTGCTTTTGCTCGGCTACTGGCCGTAGGAAGTAACGTCCTCGAGGGTTTATGTTTGTCAACGTACCGAGCTTTACTTATAGTTTGCAAATCATTCAACAAAGTCTTCCTCCCTAATCTTTTTCCCATTCTCCACTCTCGACGACATTATCTTCCCCCCACCAATATCACATGATGGGAAAGCAACCAGAAAGTCAAACTCTGCAATGAAGCAAAGGCAATTGAAGAAAACTGAAGAAGCTCACCCAATCAAAACCCAAAATCGCAACAACCGTCGCAACCCACCTCGACAAATCATATGAAAAACTCAAAACAAACTTACACTTCTCAACCGGAATAAGCGAGGCACTAAGCGTGGTAGACAGCCGCCAGCTCTTTTATCAAAGCCTTCCTCTTGATTATACCGATCACTGCCGGACGGGAAAAGCGAAGAAAGGCAATTTATGTGAAGGTTCTGTAGCTAAATTCACTACAGTCGCTGTGCTGCCTGAAGCGAAACGGGGAAGGAAACCCTAGCTGGCAAAATTGGGGGGAAAATGGAACTCAATTACGGAAAGGGAAGGGGAGTTTACTTCGACTCGGATCGAATGAAGGAGGAGGCGGGTGTGGCGGCGGCGAAGACAGACTGGATTCGGTTTCCGGAGGAGCGGAGACAGTATCGCCGGGAGGGGACGTTTGATCTCCGAGCATTATTTGGGAAGAGGGTCTACGAGATGGGGCTAAGAGCGGAGAGTTATTATCGAGCGGCGCCAGGTTCACTGAATTTTCCCTCGTCGTCGCCAGCTTCCGTTCTTTCCATGGCAGCTCGTCGGCGATGGCGGCGCCCGGAGGGAGGAGTTGATGGAGTTGTTGAAGAGGGAGAGGGAGGAAGCGCCTTTATTTGTAATTATAATATTTTTAATTTATGTATTTTACTTTAATGTGAAAATGAGTTGGAAATGGTAGAAGATTAAAATTTATTTTATTTATTATTTTTTAATTGTCACGTCGCTGAGTTAACCGTCAACTTTGAGGGTTGACTGCCACATCAGACAAATTTAACGGAGTTGGACGGAGAGTGACCAAACTTGAACCATTTAACTAATTTGAGTGACCAACATTGGATTTAAATATTTACAGTGACCAAACATGAACGTTTTTTGTAATCTCAGTGACCAACCATGCAATTAACCCAAAAAAAGGCTACACAAGCGCTAACTTGCAAGCCCAAATGAACGGGGCAAGTTCGTCATTTTCAAAATATTAATGGTTGACTACATCAACTGAGCCTTGTGATTAATGACAAGGTTGTCAAGTTGTAGTTAAGTCGGCCAGTTGTACCAGGTCGGTTCGGAGTCATTGCTGAAAACAATCCCCAAAAAGGCCAATTTGCATCCAAGCCGGTAGCTGGTTAAAACCGTTGGTCTAATCACGGATTGATTGGTTTCCGGCTCTTGGACAAAATGTTGTCATTTTGGCTCTCTCCCAAATGCCACTATGGAAAACGAAGCATATAAACGCATCTTTTAGGGTCATATAATATTAATTGTTAAATAATTGTATGGTACTTGTCAAATTATATTCAAATTTATTAAAAACTTAGATTATCTCCATATACACACACATATATTTTAATGATATTGATAAAATGACTTAAATTGGTCCCACCAGGTCCAAACATTGAATCTCATACCATTTGCTAGCCTCCTGTTCGGTGGTCGAAAAGCGGTATTTGCAAGACTCTCGCCATGAACCCTCGCTGTTGACCAATTCAACGGCTCAAACCAGTTTGACAACCTTGATTAACGGTCCATTTAGGATGGAGAACTTAACAGAAGGGCGTGTTTGTCAATATTGAGACGGTAGGAGGAGTCATTCAGATAAAATTTAAAAGTTTAGTAGCTGGTTTGTTAGTCGAGATAAAATAAAGGGAGCTGTTGGATATATATATAATATAACTCAAATACAAACCACCTAACATATAAAAACTCACCAAACCTTGTCTTCTTGCTCTCTCAGTGTTCTACTCCGCTTTCATCTCTCTCGTTTTCACCGCCGTTTCTCCCTTCTTCCCCTTCGCCGAATCCGTCTCCCATGGCTCCTTCGTTCGTGATCAACGGGGGCGACTTCGCCGCCGCCATCGGCAAGACCTCCAGCGGCGGCCGCGCATCCTCCGTTTACAGTGAGGTCCAGACCAGCCGAATTGACTACGCACTCCCTCTCCCCTCAGTCCTCACCGGTCCATTCAAGATCGTTGACGGCCCCGCTAGTTCCGCCGCCGGGAACCCTGGTTCGTCCTACTTTCTCCTCTCCTTCCTAGCGAGGTCAATTGCGTTTGACTATTGTCAGTCTGAAGTTTCTGGATCTTTCTGCTGCTGCAGATGGGATCGCCAGTCTGTTCCCGAATCTGTTTGGCCAGCCTTCCACAATGCTGGTGCCGACCGACGGCGAGCATGCTCTCGATTCCGGTCGGAAACTGAAAATCGGCGTGGTCTTGTCCGGTGGCCAGGCGCCCGGAGGACACAATGTCATCTCCGGGATCTTTGGTAAGGGAAAGTATTTTAAAACTTGCGCGATCTGTCTTCAGTTCCGCGATTCGAATTGCTCTGACTGTTAGCTTGCCGATCTTTTGTGTGGCCGTAGATTACTTGCAGGCTCATGCCAAGGGGAGTACGGTTTATGGATTCCGTGGAGGTCCTGCTGGTATCATGAAGTGCAAGTATGTAGAACTGACTCCTGACTACATTCGCCCTTACAGAAACCAGGTACCATCATTGCTTGATAGATAGAGTAATCGTGGAGTTACTGGCTTTGAGGATCTGTGGCATTGTCTGCTTGATTTCAGCACTCTCACTGTCTAAAGTCTGTGATATCTTCTTGGTTCATCAGGGTGGTTTTGATATGATCTGCAGTGGCAGGGACAAGATTGAGACACCTGAACAGGTGGGTGATACTGTTTCATTCATTTACGTTTGGTTGTGTGGTAGTTGAAAGCAAAAGATTAACTGATATTGGAAAGGAAATTTTTTGCAGTTTAAGCAAGCTGAAGAAACTGCAGTGAAGCTCGATTTGGATGGGCTTGTTGTTATTGGTGGGGATGATTCCAACACAAATGCTTGCCTGCTTGCTGAAAACTTCAGGTATACAGCACATTGTTTTTTTGTTCTTGCTGTTCTATTTCTTGCGGCTTCTGCTGGCTGGCAGTCAGGGTTTTGTTGTAATGATGATATTTTTTTTAACCTTTCCTGCTTCATTTGATCAATCAGGAGCAAGAATTTGAAGGCACGGGTAATTGGCTGCCCGAAGACAATTGATGGTGATCTGAAATGCAAAGAGGTCCCCACCAGTTTTGGATTCGACACTGCCTGCAAGGTGATTCGGAGCTCTGTTCCTTTTTTCTTTTTGTTTCTCATGTTCGAAGTCATGTTCACTATGAACAAAATAGGGTGGATGAGTGTCTCTTTCTCATTACTGGCCCGGGTCTGAATCTGAATGCATTTCAAATAGATTTTGCTACTTGTTCGCTGTATCCTAATTAATTAGAGTATCTGTCTGTGTGGTGAGGAATGCAGATATATGCTGAAATGATTGGCAATGTCATGATTGATGCTCGATCAACTGGGAAATATTATCACTGTAAGTCAATTATCTCAATCCTTTTGCCCTTTTGTGACCATTTTATGAGTTTGAGTTAAGTTATATTAAAATTCGGGAAATGCTTCAGAAAGAATCTGCTCAATTTTAGTGTTGCTGCCTCTAAGAGTTTAGGTTGTTTACACTTTTCATCACGAAGCATTGTTTATAGGGAGTATTGGACCCACAGTTCGAACCTAAGTTCAGTAGAACAAACTTTTAAGATTAGCCTTACATCTTAATTTGTTGTTTCTGAGAGTTTTATGGGAGTTCCTCTGTTAACCCTATGTTGGTCACTTTTGGGTTCAAGATCGTGTTTGCAGAGCTATGCATTTTTATTATATTTCTAGCTGTGTCTTGCCCTTCGGCAACGTCTACCATCTCTTCCCCTTCGCTCTCTCCCTATCTGTTGGTTTTGGTGTACATTTTGTTTTCTCGTTCGCGATTCTGGCCAACTCGTCGTTTTCCGCGGTTTCACAGGCACAGATCACACCCATCTCTTGTTTTCTTTATAAGCATTGATTTTACTGGTTTGTTTCAGTTGTGCGGCTTATGGGTCGTGCTGCCTCCCACATTACCTTGGAGTGTGCTTTGCAAACTCACCCAAACATTACAATCATTGGAGAAGAGGTATTTCCTTTTTACCATCGGTACTGTTTTTTAGTTAATTACTATGTCCGGAACAAAATGTTGCCGGTCTAACTACTTTTTCTATGAAACAGATAACTCAGGAAAAGTGCTGATGTTTCAAGTTGTATTGTCTTGCAGGTTGCTGCAAAAAAATTAACCCTTAAAAATGTTACCGATTACATGGTTGATGTGATCTCCAAACGCTCAGAACTTGGTTATAACTATGGTGTTATCCTTATTCCAGAGGGCTTGATTGATTTCATCCCTGAGGTATCCTAATTGCTGTTTTGCTTATGTTCATATTTCATCCCTGCTCAATGTTTTGCTTATGTCCATATTGTGCTGTGCAGGTCCAGCAGCTCATTGCAGAACTGAATGAAATTCTGGCCCATGATGTTGTTGACGAAGCTGGGCTCTGGAAGAAGAAGCTAGCGGAGCAGTCTCTTCAGCTTTTTGAATTTTTACCTCAAGCAATTCAGGAGCAGTTGATGCTTGAGAGAGATCCACACGGAAATGTTCAGGTGTCTACCACATATGAATATCAGTAGATGATTCACTTGTTAAGAATCTCTTCTGGATTGTTGTATATTTCATGCTTTTTTTTATGAAGTATATTTCATGCTTTTTGTTGTTGTGATTGTAGGTTGCTAAAATAGAGACGGAGAAAATGCTCATTCAGATGGTTGAAACCGAGTTAGAAAAAAGGAAGCTAGAAGGTTCATACAAAGGCCAATTCAAAGGACAGTCCCACTTCTTTGGGTAACATACTTGATGAACTTTTCACTAGTTCCATACTTTAGGCCTATAATTGAAGACTCTTTTGGTCATATTTTGTCAGGACTGACCAGCTATGCCAACCGAAACACTAGATTTTACTTGGGTGTTGGTAGTTAGTTATCAAAATTCAGTTGATAGCTAGCTGGAGAGAGTTGACACTTGTTGCCTGATAATGTATATGATGCTTTCCCAAATTTGGTTGTTGGAGCAATTGCTTAATAATTTATTCTTTTTTAGGTATGAAGGAAGATGTGGTTTGCCCACTAATTTTGATTCTATGTACTGTTATGCACTGGGCTATGCTGCTGCTGTTCTTCTCCACAGTGGGAAGACTGGGTTGATTTCATCAGTAAGTCCATACAACTCTTTGTTGCCGACACTTATTGTCACTGGTCCACTTCCTAATCTCTCTTCATTTCCCGTTGTCTTCCTTGAGCTTTTCTTCTAAGCTATTTTTTCGTGTCTTGCTTGATCTGAGGGGAGTAATATCAATACTATTTCAATTCTTAAAAGAGAACATCAGTACTCTTACCATGATAACATTTTCATCTAACGATCATTTTATGTTTGGTTGTATCCCAGGTTGGAAATCTGGGTGCCCCTGTTTCAGAATGGACAGTCGGTGGGACTGCACTGACTTCATTGATGGATGTGGAGAGAAGACATGGTAAAGTTTTTTTCTTGCTCACAACATGAACTTCTGTTGGGGTAGTAACATGTGATCGGAAACTAGATTCAGAGAAAATTGTTCGTCTTGTTAATCTTGAATTTGTCGCATCCTCCTAGGTTTCCTTGATGAATGTTCTTCTCCATATTTGGTTTTGTGAGGTGCTGCTTTAGTACTGATACTCTTCCCTTCCCCTGTTATTTCTTCTAATCAGGTAAAAACAAGCCCGTTATCAAGAAGGCAATGGTAGAGCTCGAAGGTAACTGTTGTCTATTGATACTCCCTTAAGAATCTTGATTTATCAAAGCACACACAATGGCGCTACCATTTCAGCTGCAGTCTAATCGGCATAAATACTTCAGGTGCACCTTTCCAAAAGTTTGCTTCAATGCGGGAAGAGTGGGCACTCAAGAACAGATACATCAGTCCTGGTATGTGTAGTCACTGAACCGATGACCAATTCCAGTTCGAAATGCCATCAATTTCTGCGCTCGTACGCTAGCTTCATGCATTGTTTTGATCCTAGTATTCGACGTTTTTTGCAGGTCCAATTCAGTTTATGGGACCTGGCTCGGATGATGTCAATCACACCTTGCTGTTGGAACTTGGACTCGTTGCTGCTTAAGGCTCGGAATGATAAGATTGCTTCTTCGTCTTCCTTTATTCCCTTTGCTTCGGTTTTTCAGTAAGCACGTGTTTATGCCGTTTGATCATGTTTGTCCAGCGATCCGATGGTGTAACACTAACGGACTTGTTTGCCCTGGGTGTGATTTGTTAGAGTAAGATGAATAATGGTAGTATCACCTCTGCACTTGCTGCATGAACTTTTAAGTGTATTCACTTCGGATCTATTGTGAGAATAGTTTGGAGGATCTGAATTTCTGAAATGGAACAGGTGGATATTCTTGTAAGTGTAATTCGATATATTATCTTTCATGCACAGTCGAGTCGAGCATATATCGCGAGAAAACAGAATGTATCACTAACATGTCTTGATATGCCGTCTAATTATCGATATCGTGCATTTCATAGTACTGTGTAATTATCGTTCTCGTCAATCATCGGGCATTTCGGTTCTAGTTTGAGGCTCTAAAACGTTTGTGCTTCACCTCAACCAAATGAAATGCTCATTAAGATTACAATGCTCAACAGTCATTGTTCGTTTTGCATTAGATATTTCAAGTATAGGTCATCAATGTTAATTATACTCACAAAATAGTCACCAAGATCACCATTTATTCTTTCATCTGCCCATTTTCATACAATCCTAAAGTTTGGTGGCCATTTAGACATTTAGCCACTCAACACTTTTGCCTTTTGGCGGAACCGCGAAATTGATAGAGATTAGGCCATTAGGGTTTTACGCACACTGAAGAAGAAACAGAGAGTGAAGCGAAGAGGAGAGGAGAGGAGAGGAAGTCATGAATGGTGGAGGGGACGCCCAAAACGGACCAGCAAAGCAGCTGACGGCGGAATCACTTCCCGTGTTCAACGAAGGCGTATACTTGATTCTCTCCCGGTGGTCGGCTCTTCAGCTCGCCATCGAAGAAGAATGGGCTGGCCGTCGCTCCCGCCAGTTGGCCCGATCAACTCGTTTCTGACATCGTCTCCTGGTTCACCCAGCCCAAAGGTAAAAAGTACCCTAGTTAGTGTCTAGAATAGTTCTAATTCGGAATGGGAAATTCGATTATCGTTAGTTTTGTGGTTCTTAGTGTAATTGCTGACTCGTTCTTCCGTGCTGTGTACAGCTGAGCCGCTTTACATCGATGATTTAGAGAATGTTCTGGACGAAGTGATGCTTTCTCTCAATTGTGAGATTGACGATGGTAGGTGGCAGAGAAGTTGATGATTATACATGAGGAATGTTTGGAAGGTGATTATTAGCTCTGTTGAGAAGACCCAGGGCCTGCAGCAGGAACTCATCAACATATTAGACAGGTTTAACTCTTTTTAAGAACTGTAATTTGAAGGTTTCAATAGTTCTTCGTGGTGGTTTGTGTTGATGGTGCTTTGTTTATGCTGTATTAGGCTGCTAATGAAGACGATGATGACTCGTTGGAGGGTGGAAGTGATAACGAAGGTGATATGATCCCCGGAACTAGATCGAATATTGCAGTGGATTCGCCAGTTCCTCAGCCTAGGGCGAGTTCGGAGAACAGGCCTATTGAAAGTCAGATGGAGGACGATGGGTGGTCTGTTGTTTCTTCCAATCGAAACAGAGGTAGCAGGAATTAAATTGACCATCATCATGCAGTTCTTGTTTAGGAGTCTACGGAAATGGAGTCCAGACAACGGATAGATGGGTTGGCAGTCATCCCTTACAAATAAACTTTAGAAGGAGCTAGATTGAGAATTGCTAAGCTATTGTGTAGGTCTCTGTTGTGTTTGTTTTCAGTTTTTTGTGCCTTTTTTTGTCGTGGTTATATAGAGAACCATAAGCGTGCAAATTTTGGTGGATAATTTGAAGTTCTGCTTATTATGCTTGGACAAAATGAGTTTCATTTTTTTTTATGTTGCAACTGATGAGATGAGACTTGTTGGCATGTTGAGTATGTTTATCATTCATTTGATCGAGTTCCATTTATATACGTTCCCGGTTTCTCTTGAATATTGTTTGAGACTTCTCTCTGGTCTTCTGCGATGAATATGCTTGAATTCTGCAGAAAGTTACTTAATTTGTAGATTTAGATTTTGCCTGGTAACAACATACACCAATCCAGAATTGCACCATTTCTAAATGCTGCAAACTTCTCTTGATCCAAGGGAAAAAGGTCTAGTCCTTTCTGCTACTCTTCTTCATCTCCATTTTCCAGTTATCTCTCTTCTCAGCTATGGTTCTCCCCCCTAAGGCAGATCCCACCCGATGGGATCTTTTAATGGGAGCGAGCACAAGTTGCAGCTCAGTTAAGTGTTTCCGACTCTTACGTTCTGAATTGTGCAGGTTTGGGAAGGAAAGAGGAGCACAGCTCAATCAATCAGCACAGACGATTAACATTAGGTAATTGTCAATTCTGCTATCATTTTGTTGTCTTTGTTCTCAATGGTCTTTCAATAGATTACGAGCTTTGTGTCCCGGCCATTGCCGAGGTATTGATGTGTCTTTGTTGGGTTGTTGTAATATTTTTATTACTGTACTTCTTATTCAAAATATTATAATGCATCATATCACTGATTTCGAGTACATATAAAATGTTGTGCTACATGAACTATGGATTTGTACTTTTAATATTTTGATATATGCAATTCAAATTTACAGATTTTAAAAACATTATGACATTGTATGTATATCAAAATCCAGAAGTTTTATTTTATGCACCAACTGGTAGTATACTAATATTGAAGTCTAGTGATGTCAACTGGGTTGTTATACTTCTGTGAAGGTTCACATCACATGGGAACTAGAAATACTCGTGTGTGTAGTAAATGTTCACCATCGTCGTACTTGCATGGGGGTTTATAATATTATATTATTTGGGTTTGTTGAAATCTCCTTGTCGTAACCTCAAATCCCTCTTGCAGATCCCTTGCTCCCCTGTTTTCCAGAGATCTAAAGTCGGTGAAAGTTCAGAGCCTTCCTCCTACTCTCTTGTTCCATCTTGCTCCGCTGCACATTGCTGTCACTCGTACCCTTGATTTTCTCTTTTCTCTAGTTTCCTCCCTCTTGGCTCTTGATTAGCTCTTGCTCTTCGTTTCCCTGTTCCTTCTCTTTATTTTCTTTTTCTGTTACTCCCCTGCTAAATCATCCCGATCGCCGTGTTTTCACATTGCTTTATCTTGGTTGATCCTCTATTTTTCATATCAATAATTAAAAAAAATCTTCATTTTCTCTTGCCCATAAAAAAGCTTCATTTTTCTCCTCCCCTAGCTCTCTTGTTCCAGCTCCTCTGCGTTTGTTTCCTTGATTTCCTATAAAATGGCTGAAATCATTCTGATCCCAGTTGCAAAACAAATTCTTGGCAAAGCAACCGACTTGGCCTCGGAGCAATTTGGACTTCTGTGGAATTTCAAGCGCGAGCTCCTGAAACTGAAGGACACCATCGGCACCATTCAGGCAGTGCTGCGTGATGCTGAAGAGAAGCAGTTCCACAGTAACCAAGTCAAGGACTGGCTGGAGAAGCTCTCTGAAGTTATGTATGATGCCGAAGATCTGCTCGATGATCTTGCTACTGAGGCTCGTCGGAAGGTCGTGCTAGCAGCAACATCAACTGGCAACGATGATGGTGGCGGGAGAAGGACGTTAGGTACGACTTGTTGGAGTGTGGTATGTTTCCTGCTCTCCTCACTCCCCAAACAATTGGCATACGATCTTAAGATGGCTCATGGTATCAAGGCCATTAGGGAGAAGCTTGACGATATATCAAAAGACAAGGACACCTTGCATCTGGAAGTTCATACTACTGAGGAAGAGCCTCTTCCTTCCAGGGAGACTGATTCCTGCCCCCCCACAATTGTTGTTGGGAGGGAAGATGACAAGAAAAATATCATCGAGTTGCTGCTAAATTCTAATCGTGAAGCCAATATTTCAGTCGTCCCAATCGTTGGGATGGGTGGGCTGGGAAAGACTACTCTTGCTCAGCTTGTATCCGATGACGATCGAGTTAAAGGTCACTTTGATATCAAAGCTTGGGTCTATGTTTCACAGAGCTTCGATGTCAAAGTGATTCTCGGAAAGATGCTGCGATCCATGAACTGTGGAAGCCAAGCAGGTGTTGATTTGGATGTTTTGCAAACTCGCGTTCGAGAAGCAATCAAAGGCAAGAGGTTTTTATTTGTATTAGATGATGTGTGGGAAGAGACCGACAGAAGTTGGGAGACTTTAGGAAAATATTTGATGTTTGGTGCTGCTGGAAGCAAAGTGTTGGTGACTACTCGATCCACAAAAGTGGCGGAGGTTGGTGGAGGAGCTCTGAAGTCGAGAACAAGTACAATCATTGTAGTGCCTTATAACTTGAAAGGCTTGTCAGAAGAAGAGTCTTGGAACTTGTTGGTGGAAAAGGCCTTCCCAAGAAAAGTTCCGCAAGAATCACAACTGCAAAAAATTGGTAAGAAAATATTGAGGAAGTGTGATGGAGTTCCTCTAGCTGTGAGCACCATAGCTGCTGTGTTAGTAGATTTTAAAGATCCAAAGTTCGAGTGGCCATCTTTTCTACAAAATGGCCTTTCGAGCATCACAAAAGAAGGAGAAGATGATCCTACTATGTCAGCTCTCAAACTTGGTTTCAATCATCTCCCTTCCCATATGAAGCATTGCTTTGCTTATTGTAAATTCTTTAGCAAGGGTGAGGAGCTCCGTATTAATTTGTTGGTTCAACTTTGGGTAGCACAAGGGTACATTGAGTCTGAAGATAAAGGTTTTGACTGCTTCAAAACATTATGGTGGCGATCATTCTTTCAAGAGGTGCAAATGGATGAGTTGGGGAATATGACAACCTGCACAATGCACGATTTGATGCATGACCTAGCTGCCGGGATAGCTGGAGAAAAGATCATAGTAACTTCAAGTATAACGATTCTAAAAAATATTCCTTCAAAGACCCGTCACTTGTCCATAATGGGTGATGGTGATAGTGATCAGGAAGAAGAAGATGATGATGGTGATGGTCTGGGAAATGCAAGCAAGGTGCGATCTCTTATGTGCATGAAGAATCTTACAAGAAAAGAATTTCAATATGTCATTAACAACTTCATACGCCTGCGCCTACTAATGTTTGGTTACATAGATCTAGGCTCAAACGACGAAGACAGGTCAGTTTTGGACGCTTATAAGTTGAAGCATTTAAGATTTCTTTATGTCAATTGCGAGGGATGGGAAGAATTTCCATACTCAATTAGCAACTTAGTTAATCTGCAAGTACTGGAACTCCGTGACATCGGATCACTAGAAGAACTACCAAAGGATATCGGGAAGCTTATTAATTTGAAGCATTTGGAGCTCGATGCAGAGGATGCTGGACATATAACCCATATGCCAAAAGGGATTGGGAAGTTGAAGTTTCTCCAAACACTACCAATTTTTGTAGTGGCGAAGAGGAGCGGTGGTATTAGTAATGACAAGACAGTTGGGGCTGAGTTGGAAGAGCTGAAAGGGTTAAATGCATTGTGTGGAGAATTGGCAATTAAAAGCCTAGCAAATGCCGAATCTCCAAGAACAGGTGTTTATGTCTTGACTGAAAAGCTACATCTCCAGTCACTTGTTTTAGATTGGGGCAGAGGTCATGACACTGACTACGATGTTCATGATGTTACTTCCTTGTCTGTTCATCATGAAGGGATATTGGAAATGCTGAAGCCACACTTCAATCTGAAGAAGTTGGCGATACATGAAGGTTATGAAGGGGTGAAGATTCCTAACTGGTTTTCTGGCCTCAACAATTTGGTTGAGTTCTCATTACAACATTGCGAGCAATGTGAGTACCTCCCCCCGCAGATTAATCAAATGTCGAGTTTGAAGAAGCTTACGATTAAAAGTTGTCCGCTGTTGAAGGGCATCGATTATGATGGACATCATCGTGATTCTTCACCGATAGAGGAAGAGGATTGCGAGTGGCCTCGGTTTTGTTGTCTTTCCAACTTGTGCGTTCAGAGTTGCCCAAGGCTAACTCGGCTGCCCACTTTCCCTACCGTTGATGGCGAGTTGAAGTTCTCTGCAGTGATCCTGGCACCATTAGCTCGAACTATGAAGATGAAGATGACAGGAGGAGGTGTTGGTTATACGGATGACATCGATACAAATATCCATCCTCTTCGTACGTCTTCTTCTTCGGCATTGGTCCGCTCACTTTCTGAGCTGACCAAATTGAACTTAGAGAAAATTGATGACGATCTCGAATCCCTATCACATCATGATTCGAGCAGTTGTCTCGTATCTCTTCAGGAGTTGAGAATTCAGAAATGTAGTCGAGGGGTAAAGCTTCCTAGTTCACTTTGTTCCAGTGCGAGCTTGACGAAGATTCACTTACAAGGATGTGAGATGGTAGAGTACCTGCCTCCCCTACATGGACTCCCGTCCTTGAGAGAACTAATTATTCGGTATTGTCCAAATCTGAAGGGATGTTGGTGGAAGAAAAAAAAGGTTAATAATGAAAACTACGACAATGGTGGTGATAATGATGATTATTACAACTTTGATCCTTCAATGGAAGGGGAGGAAGAGGAAATGGAAGATGAGGAGTGGCCCCGTTTCCCTTGTCTTTTGGAATTGGATATTAAGGCTTGTCCAAGCCTGACTCGGATGCCTCTGTTTCCAACTGTTAAAAGGTTGGATCTGGAGGGAACCAGCTCAAAGGCGCTAGTGCAGACAATGAAGATGCAACTAGTGGGAGCCTCTCATCATGATTCTCAGCAACATTCCACTACAACAAGAACTACCTCTCCTTCTTCCCAGTGGATTGAGCTAGATAGACCGCTATCTAACTTAAAAAAGTTGTTTCTTTGTGATATGGACGAACTGAAATTTCTACCAGAAGAAGGCCTCTGCAACCTCACTTCTGTCCGTGAATTGACGATTTGTGATTGTCTAAGATTAGCAACTCTGCCTCCAGCAATGCGACACCTCACTTCTTTACACAAACTGAAAATATCTTGGTGTCCTCTGTTGACAAAAAGATGCAGAAAGGGTGAAGGCGAAGATTGGCCCAACATTTCCCACATCCCCAATATAAAACTGAACGGAAATGAACTCCAAGCTTCAGGTTGGGTTCCCTTAGATCTCTTTCACTAAGTTTCACATCCTTAGCTGAAGTTAATCAAATTATCATGTCCTTATCACTAGCATTTATCTGTTTTCTTTTCCCATGAGCCTACTATATTATTTCACCAAGTCTTTACATGGTCGTGTGTATTCTTCAGTTTCATTTCACTCATTCGGGACTTACTCTCAACAACATATTATTCTTGTTGTTGCTACTAATATTCGGGCTGTGATAATGTTTCCTTGAATTAGCTATTCAGAATGACGATATGTGGTATGCACCCAAAATGGTGCATCTTGTAAGATGAATGTATTTCGACAAATTAAAACCTTCAATCATTGTTTTTAGGAATTAGAGAATCAGGGTGTAATGCTTACTATTCAAGTTTGCATATCCTAAATGTTAATCAGTTCATGCTCTAGAATTCGCCCAATATACATAATTTTGTTTTGGATTCTTGTTAATTTTCCCCATCTCTACTATTGCTGTCTAATGTAATCCCCTTGCTGACAAAGTTGAGGTTCTTTCACTGTATATGTACCCCATATCTAGAGTCAGACGATGAATGAAGCTTCTTTTGTCCAAGTTGAGGAAGTGCGACCGTCAGAGTGTACAACCAGGAAACTCATCGTCGAAATGCATAGTATACAGACAGGTAACGGAATTTATCTCTCTTTGTCAGGAAAGGTGGTTCCGCTGTCAAATCTTTGCTTATAATTGTGGCATTGGTTAACTTTTTTCTAACGGATGTTCAGGTTGCAGACCAGCTGTATAACCACTAGATCTAGCACTTGCTCGCGATCAATGTTAATGTTATATGATCTTATGGGAGTGTTCTTATTTTATATCCACTAGTTCGAAAGCCCGTGCTCCGCACGGGATATTCAATTACGTTGTCTTACGGCAGGCTTTCCCCCACCAATTCCCTCGATTTTGTTCATTCCGGCCAGTGCCTTCACTGGCTTTCCCAGGTACGCCCACTGACAATGCTCTTAACTTAAATCCAGAAAATAGATTTGCTGCGAAAATTCTCAGGAGAAATGCAGTACTCTTTTCCAACTACATTCCAAAAGAGTTTCAATCTTGACAGGTTCCTCCGGAGCTGAGTGACAAACGGGACCCGCTGATAAACAAAGGGAAGGTTTTCATCTCGAGAACGAGCTCGCCTGCTGTAATAGGCGCTTACAAGTCCCAATACCGGAAGGACTTCTGCTCATTCCTCCAGGCGCGTTCAGAAGTAGTGGTTTCAGGTGGGAGAATGGTGTAACAGTTCAGGGGAAGACGTCTAGAAGACCCGGCGCCGGACGAAAGTTGCTTGCTCTGGGATTATTACTTAGGATTGGCCTTCCAGGAATTAGTTTCTGAGGTGCACAACTAAACCTACTTTCCAGATATCTTTGATATTAAACCAGCTTGGTTTCTTACCTGCTTTTATGTTGTGGGCTACAAGGGCTCATTCCTGAAGGGAAGCTGGACACTTACAACACGCCATAATACGAGGCGTTTAAGACGTGGGAGCTGAGATCGAGAGAGAAGGGTCGTTTGCTGTGGATCGCCTGGAGACCATCGTGATCCCATGGGATGGATGTAATGGAGGAGAAACGATGTGTGGCAGCCTGACAGGGCGACCACAGTTAGGAACAGGGAAAATTCTCAGCCTGACCGGCCAGTGCCTTCACTGGCTTTCCCAGGTACGCCCACTGACAATGCTCTTAACTTAAATCCAGAAAATAGATTTGCTGCGAAAATTCTCAGGAGAAATGCAGTACTCTTTTCCAACTACATTCCAAAAGAGTTTCAATCTTGACAGGTTCCTCCGGAGCTGAGTGACAAACGGGACCCGCTGATAAACAAAGGGAAGGTTTTCATCTCGAGAACGAGCTCGCCTGCTGTAATAGGCGCTTACAAGTCCCAATACCGGAAGGACTTCTGCTCATTCCTCCAGGCGCGTTCAGAAGTAGTGGTTTCAGGTGGGAGAATGGTGTAACAGTTCAGGGGAAGACGTCTAGAAGACCCGGCGCCGGACGAAAGTTGCTTGCTCTGGGATTATTACTTAGGATTGGCCTTCCAGGAATTAGTTTCTGAGGTGCACAACTAAACCTACTTTCCAGATATCTTTGATATTAAACCAGCTTGGTTTCTTACCTGCTTTTATGTTGTGGGCTACAAGGGCTCATTCCTGAAGGGAAGCTGGACACTTACAACACGCCATAATACGAGGCGTTTAAGACGTGGGAGCTGAGATCGAGAGAGAAGGGTCGTTTGCTGTGGATCGCCTGGAGACCATCGTGATCCCATGGGATGGATGTAATGGAGGAGAAACGATGTGTGGCAGCCTGACAGGGCGACCACAGTTAGGAACATGGGGAAGGCGATTAGAGCGAGGCGATGATTTGGAGCAATTTTGGTGGAGGAGATATGGAGTTTGTGGATCATTTGTTTCAGAAGTTTGATAGGATCATGGATTCATGGTGGATTAATTGAAGGAAGTTGAGCATGTCAGTATTGTTGTCTCTGTCGTCAAGAAGCAATCAAGCCGTTTGAGCATGTCGGTCAGTACTATCGAATTCGATGACTGTGTGTGAGGTCTAGTCAGTAATGTCACTTGCGCTCATTTCAGTTTCAAGTATATTATTGATTTCTAGCTCTATAAAAAAGGATTCATTGAAGACTTTCTTCATTGAGCTTGTTGATTGGGATTTGAATCCAGTATCTGTAGATGATTGTTGGCCTCTAATTTGTTGCATCCTGTTCCTTGATGAATGCTCTCCATATTTAGTTTTGTGAGCTGCTGCTTGATTGCTGATATGATATCCTTCCCTTTCCTGTTATTTGTTCTAATTAGGTAAGAACAAGCCCGTTATCTAGAGCTCTAGAGCTCGAAGTTGAAGGTAATTGATGTCTAGTGATACCCCCTTAATCTTCTCGATTTAGCAAAGCACGCACAGTGGTTACCATTTCAGCTGCAGTCTAATCGGCGTAAATATTTCAGGTCACCTTTCAAAAAGTTTGCCTCAATGCGGGAAGAGTGGGCTCTCAAGAACAGATACATCAGTCCTGGTATGTTTAGTCACTGAACCGATGACCTCTTCCAGTTCGAAATGCCATTCATTTCTGCGCTCGTACGCTAGGTGCATGCAGTGTGTTGATCCTGGTTTTTCGACGTTTTTGCAGGTCCTATTCAGTTCATGGGACCTGGTGCTGATGATGTCAATCACACCTTACTGTTGGAACTTGGACTTGTTGCTGCTTAAGGCGCGGAATGAAGTGATTGCTTCTTCGTCTTCGTTTATTCCATTTGCTCCGGTTATTTTTCGTAAGCACGTGCTTATGCTGTTCGATTACATTCGTTCAGCGTTCCATCGATATAGTGCAAACTGACTTGTCTGTCCTGGTGTGATTTGTTAGACTAGATGAATAATTGCATTTCCTCTCCACTTGCTGCATGAACATCAGTGTATTCACTTTGGGTGTGTTGTGGGAGAAATGAATATATCACCAAAATGTCTCGGTATATCGTGTATTTTGTTGTACTGTCTAATTATCGTTCTTGTCAATCTATTGCATTCCAGTTTCAGTTTTTCTACTCCTAAACGTTTGTGCTTCGTCAAAAGAAATGCGTTTGATTTCACGAAATCAAATTCGAAACGCAATAAATTCACGATATTGGAGAAGATGAATTATATAACGTCGATCCAGACCCCATGTTTCATATATTTACAAACTAGTCCAAGATCCTTCCATGTGCAGTTTATTCTTTCAACGGCCCATTTTCATACAATCCTAAAGTTTGGTGGCCATTCAGACATTTAACCACCCAACACTTTTGCCTTTTGGCGGAACCGCGAAATTGATAGAGAAATAGGCCATTAGGGTTTTACGCACACTGAAGAAGAAACAGAGAGTGTAGCGAAGACCGAAGAGGATACGAAGCCATGAATGGCGGAGGAGACGCCCAAAACGGGTCAGCAAAGCAGCTGACGGCCGAATCACTGCCCGTGTTCAACGAAGGAGTATACTTGATTCTCTCTCGATGGTCGGCTCTCCAGCTCGCCATCGAAGAAGAATGGGCTGGCCGCCGCTCCCGCCAGTTGGCCGATCAACTCGCTTCCGACATCTTCTCCTGGTTCACCCAGCCCAAAGGTAAAAATGCCATAGCTAGTGTCTAGAATCGAGCTCTAATTCGGGATGGGAAATTCGATTCTGGTTAGATTTGCGGTTCCTTGTTGCAATTGCTGATTCTTGTACTCGGGTTTTGCGTGTTGATTCCAGCTGAGCCGCTTTACATCGATGATTTAGAGAACGTTCTCGACGAAGGGATGCTTTCTCTGAATTGCGAGATTGACGATGGTAGCGTAGAGGAGGTAAATGAGATTTGGGTTTTCACGTGCAGTGATTTCTTTTCTCTGTTGATGCTTAATCTTTGCTGAAAAGTTCTGTGTGTCTTTCGCCATGGTAGGTGGCAGAGAAGTTGATGATTATGCATGAGGAATGTTTGGAAGGTGATTATAGCTCTGTTGAGAAGTTGAGAAGAGCAGGGCCTGCAGCAGGGACTCAACAACATATTAGACAGGTTTAACTCTTTTTAAGAACTGTAATATGGGGGATTTTCACTAGTTCTTGGTTGTGGTTTGTGTTGATGTTGCTTTGTTTATGCTGTATTAGGCTGGCAATGATGATAACGATGACTCTTCGGATGATGGAAGTGATGATGAAGGTGATATGATGCCTGGAAGTAGATCAAATATTGCAGTGGATTCGCCAGTTCCTCAGCCTAGGGCGAGTTCAGAGAACATGCCTAATGAAAGTCAGATGGAGGATGATGGGTGGACGGTTGTTTCTTCCAATCGAAACAAAGGTAGAAGGAATTAAGTCGAACATCATCATGCAATGCTCATCGAAGACTCGTGAAGTTCGAGACGTGGCAGTCATCCGTTCCAATTATACTGAAGAGGTAGAAGGAAGTAGATTGAGACTTGCTAAGCTGTTGTTTAGTTATCTGTTGCGTTTGTCTTCAGGTTTTTGTGCTTTCTTTCGACCTGGTTATATAGAGAACCATCAGCGTGCAAGTTTTCGTGGAAATTTTGTGTTCTGCTTATCCTTGTCCCAACAATAATATTTGGCAAATGATAATTTGACCACCATGATTCTGAATCCCAATTCATACGACTTGAATCTTTGAAGCTCGAGATCTTGTTTGGTTCTAGCTTTTTCTGAATTTAAATGTTACTATTTTGGTAAGAGAATCAGATCGAGCTCTCAGAAACATAACCCAAATGGTCAACGAGTAAATGGAGTTTATGCAGGCTTGATTGTCGACAAGTATGATATCGTATAGGAAGAAGATTCCATATGCTAGTTCTTTTGATGCCTCAATAGGATGAAGACAAGAGAAGGTAGCAGCTACAGTATTTTTTATATAAACAAGAGCTGTACATTTTGTTTTATTGTACCACAGAGAGATTTATATATTCTATTGCGGTCTTTGCTTGTCTTCGTGATTCAGACTGATAGTACCCGAGTTTCTTTTTGGGTTCCGGAATCGATTCTGAACTCTAGCACAACTGAGATGGTGGTTGAAGATGAAAGCAACGAGATGCAGAAAGTTTTCCACATGAAAGGCGGATTAGGGGAAGAGAGCTATGCCCTTAACTCAAAATCCCAGGTTCAGATTAACTACCAGCTCTCTCCAACAAAACACAAATTGCTTCTCTTGCATTGTATTACTTCTTAATTTCACTTACATGAAATTTGTGGGCTGCTCCTCCACAGAGCGCCTACTTATCCAGAGCGATGCAGGTTCTGGATCAAGCAGTTCTGGACCTCTGCACTGCCGGATTTCCAGCCAACTCGTTTAACATAGCAGACCTCGGATGTTCTTCAGGACCAAACTCTCTGGTCGCGGCTGCGCAGATCACAGGCATCATCCATCAGAAGAGCTCCCAGCTCGGCCGAACGCCTCCGGAATTCTCTGTCTTCCTGAACGATCTTCCGGGAAATGATTTCAACACGGTTTTCAACTCCCTGCCGTCTTTCCAGGAGAAGCTGAAAACAGAGCATGGGCAAGATTTCGGGCCCTGTTATGTTTCAGGCGTTCCGGGCTCTTTCTACGGCAGGCTTTTCCCCTCCAATTCCCTCCATTTCGTTCATTCCGGCCAGTGCCTTCACTGGCTTTCCCAGGTTTGCCCGCCCTTTTCATTTTACTGACAAAGAATGTAACTTTAACCCAGAAAATGGATTTGCTGGGGAAAAATCCACTCTTTTCCAATTAGATTCCAAGAAAATTTCAATCTTTGACAGGTTCCTCCAGAGCTGCGTGACAAACAGGATCCGCTGATAAACAAAGGGAAGGTTTTCATCTCGAGAACGAGTTCACCTGCTGTAATAGACGCTTACAAGTCCCAATTCCAAAAGGACTTCTGCGCATTCCTCCAGGCACGTTCAGAGGAAGTGGTTGCAGGTGGTAGAATGGTGTTGCAGTTCAGGGGAAGACGTCTAGAAGACCCGGCCCCTGATGAAAGTTGCTTGCTCTGGGATTACCTAGGATTGGCCTTCCAGGAATTAGTTTCTGAGGTGCACAACTAAACCTACTTTCCAGATCTCTTTGATATTAAACCAGCTTGGTCTCTTACGTGCTTTTATGTTGTGGGCTACAGGGGCTCATTCCTGAAGGGAAGCTTGACACTTACAACACGCCATATTACGAGGCGTTTACTGAAGACGTGAGAGCTGAGATCGAGAGAGAAGGATCGTTTGCTGTGGATTGCCTGGAGACTATCGTGATCCCTTGGGATGGGTGTAATGGAGGAGTAAAGCAGTATGACAGGGCGACCACAGCCAGGAACATGGGGAAGGCAATAAGAGCGGTGAACGAGGCAATGATTCGGAGCCATTTCGGTGGAGGAGATGTGGAGTTTGTGGACCGTTTGTTTCAGAAGTTTGGTAGAATCATGGTGGATGACTCGAAGGAAGTTGAGCATGTCAGTATTGTTGTCTCTGTCATCAAGAAGCAATCAACCGTTTGAGCATGTCCGTCAGTACAATCGATGGCTGTGCCTGTGTGTGATCTGCTTAGTAATATCACTAAGCCATGGGTTTAGTGACTAAACCCCACTCCCCTTGTTCACTTGTACTCATTTCAGTTTTTAAGTGTATAATAATTGATTTCTAGTTCTATGAAAAGGATCTATTCAGACTCCATCTTCCCTGAGTTCATTGATTGAAATATGAATTATCAATCTCCATTTCTGAACAAGTTTATCGTTATGGACTGCAGAATACTGGAGGGAATCGGCAGCTTTGGCAAAAAATCACTTCAGTTCTTCATTCTCAACAGTAACGGAGGAAGATGATGAGTGGCTGGTATGAGGAACGGAGGAGCATGTCCAGTATTGTTTCTGTGTGAGAAAAGAAGAGAAAACGAGTGGACGAAGGCCACTCGCAGGAGGTAACGTGGGGGCCACTATTCTCACTCTTGATTTGCTCTTGCTCTTTCGCTTTCCCTATTCCCCCTCTGTTGATCCGCTGGTTTCTTATCCCAAATTTTTTTTCTCATCTTCTCTTGCCCATAAAAAAAAAGCAGCTTCTTTTTTCTCCTCCCCTTGCTTTCTTGTTCCAGCTCCTGCGTTTTTTCTTCCTTGATTTCCCCTTGCTCTCTTACTTGCGAAATTCCTTCTCTCTTTTCCACTATTCTACCTCTTGTTTCCAAGCTCCCCTGCATCTCCTCTGTTTTTTCCCTCCCAAAGAAATGGCTGAAATCATTCTGGGCCCTCTAGTTGAACTAATCCTTGGCAAGTTGGTCACCCTTGCGTCCGATCAGGTCCGGCTCTTCTGGAATCTCAAACCCGAGATCGTGAAACTCCAACGCACCGTCATCGTCATCCAGTGTGTGCTTCTCGATGCAGAGAAGAAGCAGTCCCACAACAACCAAGTCAAACTCTGGCTGGAGAGCATCTCAGACATCATGTACGATGCTGAAGATCTGCTTGATGATTTATCCACGGAGGCTGCGCTCCAGAAGCAAGCAAAGACTCACCGGAGGGCAGCGACTTTCCGTAGGAGGATATGGTCTCCGGTCTCGTCCCGTTCCAAGCAGTTGATGTATAATCGTAAGATGGCTCGTGATATTAAGGCTCTTCGGGAGAAGCTTGATGTTATATCCAGAGAGAAGGAGGCTTTCAAGTTGGAAGTTGGCACCGAGTTAAGAGCTCTTCCTTCCTTCAGGGAGACGGATGCCTGCCCACCCAGCATTATGATTGGGAGGGATAAGGACAAGAAAAATATCGTTGAACTATTGCTGAATTACAACCCAGAAGCCAACATTTCGGTCGTTTCCATTGTTGGGATGGGTGGGTTGGGTAAATCCACCCTTGCTAAGTCCGTATTTGATGACAAAGAAGTTCAAGGTCACTTTGGTATCAAAGCTTGGGTCTATGTTTCACAGAGCTTTGATGTCAAAATGATCATCCGAAGGATGTTGGAATCCATAACTCGTGAGAAAGTGGAGGATCTCAATTTAGATGCTTTACAAGCTCGGCTCCGGGGGGAAATAGAAGGCAAGAAGTTTTTGTTTGTATTGGACGATGCTTGGGAGGAGAAGAGGCACAGTTGGGAGAAATTGGAAAATTATTTGACTGATGGTGCTCTTGGAAGCAAAGTGCTGCTGACTACTCGATCCACAAGAGTGGCGGATTTTGTTGGCGGAGCTCTAAAGTCGAGAACAATTACCAGCATTGACAAACCTTACCTCTTGAAAGGCTTGTCAAAAGAAGAGTCTTGGAACTTACTGGTGGAAAAGGCCTTCCCAAGAAAACTCCCGCAAGAACCACAACTGCAAGAAATTGGTAAAGAAATACTGAGGAAGTGTGGTGGAGTTCCTCTAGCTGTGAGCACCATAGCTGGTGTGCTAGTAGATTCTAACGATCCAAAGATCGAGTGGCCATCTTTTCTACAAAAAAGCGTTTCGAGCATCACAAAAGAAGGAGAAGAAGAAGATCCTACTATATCAGCTCTCAAACTCAGTTTCAATCACCTCCCTTCCCATATGAAGCATTGCTTTGCTTATTGTAAATTGTTTGGCAAGGGTGAGAAGCTCTCTATAAATTTGTTGGTTCAACTTTGGGTTGCACAAGGGTACGTTGATTCGGAAGATAAAGGTTTTGACTCCTTCAAAACATTATGGTGGCGATCATTCTTCCAAGATGTGCAAATGGATGGGCTGGGCAATATGTCAACGTGCACAATGCACGACTTGATGCATGACCTAGCTGGCTGGATAGCTGGAGAAAAGATCATTGTAACTTCAAGTTTAACGATTCTAAAAAATATTCCATCAAAGACCCGTCACTTGTTCATAATGGGTGATGGTGATCAGAGAGAAGAAGATCATGTTGGTGATGGTCTGGGAAATGCAAGCCAGGTGAGAACTCTTGTGTGCTGGAAGACTCTTACACGCAACGAAGTTCAACAAGTCATTAACAACTTCATACGCTTGCGCGTACTAAGATTTGTGTGCAGAGATCCAGACTTAGACTGGTCCATTTTGGATGCTTTTACTTCAATTAATTTTGATAAGTTGAAGCATTTAAGATTTCTTGCTTTCAATTGCGAGGGAAGGAAAGGACTTCCAAACTCAATTAGCAACTTAGTTAATCTGCAAGTACTGGAACTCAGTGCCTCCAAGTCACTAGAAGAACTGCCAAAGGACATTGAGAAGCTTGTTAATTTGAAGCATTTGGAGCTCGATGCAGTGTATGCGGGATATGGAACCCATATGCCAAAAGGGATTGGAAAGTTGAAGTTTCTCGCTAGGCTACCAATGTTTATAGTGGGGAAGAGGAGCAGTAGTATTGGAAATGACAAGACAGTTGGGGCTGAGTTGGATGAGCTGAAAGGGTTAAATGCATTGTGTGGAGAATTGACAATTAGAGACCTAGGAGATGCTGAATCTCCAAGAACAGGTGTTTATGTCTTGAATGAAAAGCAACATCTACAGTCACTTGTTTTAGATTGGGGCAGATATTATGACGTTGACGGTGATGTTACTTCCTTGTCAATTCACCATGAAGGAATATGGGAAATGCTGAAGCCACATTTAAATCTGAAGAAGTTGGCGATACAAAGAAGTTATGAAGTGGTGAAGATTCCTAACTGGTTGTCTGGCCTCACCAATTTGGTTGAGTTCTCATTACAAGATTGCGAGCAATGTGAGTACCTCGCCCCACAAATTCAGCAAATGCCAAGTTTGAAGAGGCTTACGATTAGAAATTGCCCGCTGTTGAAGGGCATCGATGATGTTGACCATCATCGTGATTCTTCACCGATAGAGGAAGAGGATTGCGAATGGCCTCGATTTCGTTGTCTTGCCGACTTGCGCATTCACAGTTGCCCAAGGCTAACTCGGTTGCCCACTTTTCCTACCGTTGAAGGGGAATTGAAGTTGGTTGCGGTGAGCTTAGCACCATTAGCTAGGACTATGAAGATGAAGATGAGGAGAGAAGGAAATGTTGGTTATACGGATGACTTTGATGCAAATACCCATCCTCTTCGTACTTCTTCTTCTTCCTCTTCGTCTTCGGCATTGGTCCACCCACTCTCCAAGCTTACCAAGTTGAGCTTAGAGACAATCGATGACGATTTCGAATCCCTATCATATCATGATTCGAGCAGTTGTCTCGTATCTCTTCAGGAGTTGAGGATTTGGAGATGTCGTGGAGGGGTAAAGCTTCCTAGTTCGTTGTGTTCCAGTGCAAGCTTGACGTTGATTCGCTTAAAAGAATGTGAGATGGTAGAGTACCTGCCACCCCTACATGGACTTCCATCCTTGAAAGAGCTAACTATTCGGAACTGTCCGAATCTGAAGGGATGTTGGTGGAAGAAAAGGAAGGGGAATAATGATAATTACAGCAATGGTGGTGATGATGATTATTACAACTTTGATCCTTCAATGGAAGAGGAAAGGGAAGATGAGGAGTGGCCCCGTTTCCCTTGTCTTTTGGCATTGTATATTGAAGATTGTCCAAACCTGACTCGGATCCCTCTGTTTCCAACGGTTGAAAGGTTGATGCTGGAGAGAACCAGCTCAGAGGCGCTAGTGCGGACACTGAAGATGCAAGTGGTGGGAGCCACTCATCTTGATTCTCAGCTACATTCCACTGCAACAGCAATTGCCTCTCCTTCTTCCCAGAGGACTGCGCTGGATAGACCGCTATCTAACTTGAAAAACTTGACTCTTTGGGGAATGAACGAACTGGAATTTCTACCAGAAGAAGGCCTCTGCAACCTCACTTCTCTCCGTAATTTTGAGATTTATTCTTGTCCAAAATTAGCAACTCTGCCTCCAGCAATGCGACACCTCACCTCTTTATACAGATTGTATATTCGGGATTGTCCTCAGTTGACAATAAGATGCGGAAAGGGTGAAGGCGAGGACTGGCCCAACATTTCCCACATCCCTCGGATAACACTGAACTTCAATAAGCTCCAAGGTTAATCAAATCATCATGTCCTTATCACTAGCATTTATCTGTTTTCTTTTCCAATTAGCCTACTAGATTATTTCACCGAGTCGTTTACATGGTCGTGTGTTCTCTCCGTAAATGGTCGAGTCTCTGTGAATCGTAGTGGATTCTTCAATTCCATTTCACTCATTCAGGATCCACTCTCAACAACATATCATTCTTCTTGTTGCTACTAATATTCGAGTTGTGATTCTGTGTATGTATATGGTAATTTTTACTTTGCACCTACCAAAATGATTGCAAGGCTTAAAGTAAGCTATGATCATCGAATTTTAATTTTTAATTGCTCGAACTAGTCTGCTAAGATAATCTAGAACTACAACTAATCCATTGCCTTTTTTTTTTAATCCTAACTCTTACATTCTAAGCCCTAAGCCACCAACTCAAAATCATTAAAATACTTGTAAATTTTAAATAATTTATGTGTATATTTGTCCATCTTCTGTTTTATTGTATTGCAATAAAAAAATTGTCAGAAGTTTGGCGTCAATTAGCTAACTTAAAATGGCGATATCTGGTGTTTTGAATGTATTTGGACAAATTAAAACTCTTAATCATAGTTTTTAGGAATTAGAGAATAAGGGTGTAAGGTTCATAATTCAGGTTTGCGTATCCTAAATGTTGATCAATTCATGCTCTAATTTTTCCACATCTCTATCATTACTGTCTGATTTAATCCCCTTGCTGACAAAGTTGAGGTTTTCTTCACTGTATATGTACCCCAGATCTAGAGCCAGACGATGAATGGAGCTTCTTTTGTCCAGTTGAGGAAGTGCGACCGCTCGGAGTGTACAACCAGGAAACTCATCGTCGACATGTATAATATACACACAGGTAATGGAATTTATATCTCTTTGTCAGGAAAGGTGGTTCTGCTGTGCCAATCTTTGCTTATAACGGATGTTCAGGTTGCAGACCAGCGGTATTACCACTAGATCAAGCACCTGTTCACGATCAACGTTAAATGTTATATGATCTTAAGCGCACGCCCTCCTGTGTTTGATATGAAACCAGCTTGGTGGTCTCTTAATTGCTTTTATGCTGTGTGCTAACAGGGGCTCATTCCTGAAGGGAAGCTGGACGCTTCCAACACGCCGTATTATGAGCCGTTCACTGAAGACGTGAGAGCCGAGATCGAGAGAGAAGGCTCGTTTGCTGTGGATCGCCTGGAGAGTGGAGACCATCGTGATCCCATGGGATGGATGTAATGGAGGAGGAACGCAGCATGACAGGGCGACCACGGCGAGGAACATGGGGAAAGCGATTAGAGCAGTGAACGAGGCGAAGATTCGGAGCCATATCGGTGGAGGAGATGTGGAGTTTGTGGACCGGTTGTTTCAGACGTTCGGTAGGATCATGGGGGATGGCTCTGAAGGAAGTTGAGCATGTCAGTATTGTTGTCTCTGTTGTCAAGAAGCAATCAAACGTTTGAGTATGTTAGTAATATTGTCGATGGCTTTGTGTGATCTACTTGGTAATATCATTTGCACTTATATTTCGATTTCAAGTGTATTATGATTTCTAGTTCTACGTAAAAGGATCTATTGAGACTATCTTTGCTGAACTTATTGATTGAAATTTGAATCTGAGTTATCTTTTAGATTGACTGTTGGCCTCGATGTTGAAGTGTCATCAAGCGTTGTTGATTTTTGTGGTATGTTTGGAGGTGTAGCGATGACAAAGAATGATTGAATATAGGAGTTTAGTGATGACAATTTTTTACCTGATTCGCACGATCCGTCATGTTCCTACTTGTTTGGGGAAAGTACTATCCGATCTATAGTAGTGTGTGAAATGGGTATGAGTATTGTTTTCGATCAGTTCTCGACTCGTTATTTCATGATTTGTATTAATATCTACATGTATTTATTCTTTTTTTTTAACATTTTTTAAACCATATTTTCATCTAAAAGAAATTTTAACATTCATCTTTCAACTATTTAGACTCAATTATTTATTCTCATGTATTTCTGATTCATTTGTGAAGTGTATGTTCTATGTGTTCTTGTAAAATAGTTAAATATCGATATTATTTTTTCAAATAACATATAAAAAATGTTCTACCTCGCGTGCATTACCCGATTTGACCCGCACTTAGTACTGGGCGAGTATGAGTAGTGTAGTTGACACCCTCGCTTCGCCTCGCCCAATTGCCATCACTGAGAGATTGACAGTTCTAATTTGTGGTCACGGTTCTTAAGTTTCGATTACTATTGAGTTGCGATTATCATGGTTGCATGGCGGTGGCATGTCGTTCGATCGGTTGTACTGGGTTCAACTGGCGTCGATCACAAAACTGGCTTCAATGCTTCCTCATATGACCGCATGATCGATTTTTTTACCTCCAAACAAAACTATGGCGTTCTTGAGAATTTAGTTAACAAAAAAAAATTATTTGTTTATTTAATTTGGTAGTTAAATGTTGATGTTATTTGTTGAATTGAAGTATGAAATATAAATGTTTAGATGTTTATGTTATTTGTTGTATTCAAATCTCAATATAAATATTTCGATGTTGGCGTTAAATGTTATATTATAATATAATATTTTTCATTTTGTTTGGAAATTTTCTATTTCCCTACATGTTTTTCCTAAAACGGCGTGAACTGATTTAAACTAGCAATGCCACTTGTCAAACCGGCATATAACGATATCAACCGATTTGATAACCCTGCCGGTTATCATGGTTTGATCCGTTTCCGGTTTGAGACCGGACAGCTGCACTCCCTCTACCGCCCAAACCAAACCCAATTCCAACAACGACTCCCACTCTTCCTCCCACTTCACCACTCCTCGCTGCCGCCGCTTAATTTCGTTGCCGCCCGTTCGCCATCATCAACCTCCTCGAGCTGCTGCTGTCGCCGCAGCAAGCTTCCCCGCTTGAAGTAGCAGTCCCCCATTCTTCTCCCGTCGACCAGTCCATCTTCGATCTTCTTTGCTCCAAGCAGTTGTCTTCTTTCTTCCCCCCATTTATAAATTATACTACTTTTTGATGATTCCCACTTGGGCTTCGGTTTTGTCGAACAGTTTTTCAAATTTTGAAACTCCCTTTCCGACTACTTGTGCAAAGAATAGCTAGTTTCTGACTTTGTCTGCCGCGGGTAGTGCCCTTGATTGCGTCGTAGTCTGTCACTCTTTTCTCCACGCCCCATTTCTGCTTCCCCTTCTCTCTCTCTCTCAGCAACACCAGCCCTCCTCCCAGGTTTGATTGCCGAATGGGTCTTTGTTGAGTGGGCAAGAAGAGGATAAAAGAGAGATGTTGAGTAGCCGTGAGATTCTCAACTTCTTAGTAAGGAAGAAGGACGCGAGGAAGATACTCAAGCGCAAGGACAGTGACGCTGGGGAACGAGGTATGGTATCTCTACTCCATCCCAAGTTTCCCTTTTTGGTTAAGATTAACGGACGGCTATTAGGTCGCTGGTTTGAATGCTAAGAGTGATTATGCATGTTGATTCTTAGAGCTGATGTAATTATGGCAAGTAGATCCCTTTAAGTGATCAGGCCAAGGTGGTGAAGCTGCCTGATGATGGGCTTGAGGAGAAATCCTCTATCTAGATGGCTACCCATAGTTGAAATTGAAAGCACACCAAGCCTGAAACTTTTGCCATCCGGCAGCTCAGATGTTTCTACCCTCAAGTCTTAGTTATCGAATTCGGCCTAAAACTGGAGTCTTTGACAGAACATTTTGGTTTTCGCTGGAATGCCAAATAGCGGTCTGGTTATGTAAACTTGTGAACAAAGAGACTGTTATTTCGTTCATAATGTGAGTAACACACTAACTAAGAAGGCCCTCTCTCATGGCTGCCATGCCTGCTGGTCAGGAAGGGCTCTGGAAGAACTGAGGTCCTCGTTGTTTAACAAACTTCGGTCACCTGAGGGTGCGAAACGACAAGAGCAACGCTACTGTGGTCCTATCGCTGCCCTTACGTTCAACTTCGTCATAGCTGTTGGCATTATCTTCATAAACAAATGGGTTAGTGACTCTCCTCCTTGGTGCTTTTCATATCCCTTTCCACTCTTTGGACGTCGTGCTTTCCGAGTGACCAGTGCCATTGTTCATTCTGTTTCATTTCAGGTGCTTCAAGGAGTTGGTTTCCGCTTCCCTATCTGTCTCACTTTTATTCACTACTCAATAAGCTGGATTCTGATGGCCTAGTTAAAAGCCTTGTCCATTCTTCCTGCACCGCCTCCATCAAAAGCTAACAACTTGACTTTGTTCACTCTTGGTTTTGTCATGTCGCTTTCTACTGGCCTGGCTAATGTTAGCTTGAAATATAACAGGTCAGATAAGTCAATTTAGTCCCTGCGTTTTCTGCCGCTCTCTGCATTTAACTGATTCTGCCTTTTTCCCTCCTTCCCAGTGTGGGTTTCTACCAGATGGCTAAGATTGCAGTTACCCCTTCCATTGTCCTCGCTGAATTCATATGGTTGAAAAAGAGAGTCTCCTTCTCCAAGGTAATGGCTTTCCCCGTATTCTGTGTTGATAGTTGCTTCTCCAGCCTTGCTTAAGAATGTATCACCTGTTTCCTTGAACACTGGGAACAGCATTGTGATCAAAGCACTGAATCCATGCTGGTCATAGTTTTGCACTCATGTTAAAACCCAAGTTGATGTTCATAGACGTCAACGAGGAATTGTTGTATTATCAAAGTTCAACTTACGAAACCGTGATAACTTTCTCACTTATTTTGCACCATACTTTGGGATCTATTCTATGTAATCTGTTAGGTGGTTGCACTTACAGTTGCCTCTACTGGAGTTGCGGTCGCTACAGTTACTGACCTACAGTTTAGCCTATTTGGCGCATGTGTAGCACTAGCCTGGATAGTCCCTAGTGCAGTGAACAAGATCCTCTGGTCTACAATGCAACAGCGTGACAACTGGACAGCTTTGGCGTAAGAGACTGTTATCCTTAATTCTCCTAACAAAGACTTATTGCAGCCATTAGATTCCAACATACAGTTGCTGATGGGCATTGAATGAATGGACAGGTTGATGTGGAAGACAACACCAATCACTTTAGTTTTCCTTACGGCGTTGATTCCTTTCTTGGATCCCCCTGGTGTCTTCTCCTACGACTGGACCTTCAGTAACACGACGTTGATAATCACCTCTGCACTTTTTGGCTTTTTACTCCAGTGGTCTGGGGCCTTGGCCCTTGGGTGAGTATTTTGCTTCTTGATTTTGAATTCCATGATTCTGCAGCCAGGCTGATTGTTAATTTATTGTTAGCATTGTCATTATAAGCTCTACTTGATCAATTATTTGCTACATCCTGCATGGAGATAATGGCATTGTGACACAATGATAGCTTCAGGAAGGGTAAAAACTTATCATGCCATTCAAGATAGTTTATTCGTTACTCGTTCTTTCCATATAAAGGAGCTTGATTTTGTTTTTTTTTTTTCCTTCTTTAGATCGTATGCAGTCTGTATACTTCCATCCTGTTGTTTGAAATCACTTGCCCTGATTGTAACCACCCTTTTGACATCAAGGTTTCCTAGTCCTGACTAGCTTGACAATAACTGTTTGATTAATCTGTTAATCAGGGCAACATCTCCTGTTTCCCATGTCGTTCTCGGTCAATTCAAGACCTGCATTGTGCTGCTGGGGAACTACTACATCTTCGGATCAAATCCTGGCGTGATCAGCATCTTCGGTGCATTGATTGCAATCGGTGGCATGTCTGGCTTCACGTATCTTAATCTACAGAATGTCAAGTCCTCGTCGTCCCAAACAGCGCCTCAAAAATCATCATCGAAAGACAAATCCAGGTTGAGCAAAGAGAACGGAGGAGACGACGGCAATGATGCATATGGGGAGGAATCTGTGTAACTTATTAACAACAGCATTCTTTTCTTCAGTTGCTCGTTTGACTTGTTGTTGTATCCCGTGAAAGCCCGAGTTTCTGTTCTGACTGTAGTCTAACTTTTGGATGCCAGATTTGCCAGAGGGTCCAAATTGATGCCACGCAGTAATCATTGTAGTAAACCTTGTTGTAGGGGTAGAAACTAGAGAGGTCAATGCTCTGTAATCTGTATTTTTCAAGTGCAGTTTTAGCGGTTTAGTTGCATTATATATGAGCTTTTAGTGGTAAACACAATCCAATGGTGAGTCTAACCATCACATAACTGACAACACGAGTACACGACCAGTTGCTACAACATCCTGCTCGATTTCACGATCCTATAGGCACAAAGATAACGCCGTTTGGATGTTGGACGATAGAGATACGAGTTGCAGAAGTTTAGTACGAATATCATAAGTTTTAGTAGCGAGTGATGAACTTCAACGTCGAATATCTCACTCGTTCGGAGTCCAAATTCACTTCCATTGAATCTGACATGATCGTGGAATGATTTCCTATTACTGGAAACCAAGATTTGGCTCATTTTAGAATGAGAATTTCAGTGAATTGGACAGGAATACAGTGAAAATTACAGTAGTGCCATTTAACCTTCTGCCGGCTCAGTACATATAACTTTCTCTTTTTTCTGGCAGCATCGTCTTCCTTCTAGATCTCAGAATCCTTCTCCCGCGAATCGGAAAATGGCACCCAAATCATCAGATTCGCAGAGTCATATCCTCAATCAGTCAGACCCAACAACAAATGGCTCAATCGATCCGATATTCCACCTCGTCAGAATCCTCCCGTACTCTGTCCTCCGCGCGCCGCGCCTCCGCCTCAAGCTGCCGTCCCTCAGCCTCCCATCTCCGATGACGGTCTTCTCCCTCGTCCTCCTGACCTACTTCATGGTCGTCTCCGGCATCGTCTACGACGTCATCGTCGAGCCGCCGGGAATCGGATCGACCCAGGAACCCGTCACCGGCACCGTTCGGCCCATCGTCTTCATGTCCGGCCGAGTCAACGGGCAGTACATCATCGAAGGACTGTCGTCCGGTTTCATGTTCGTCCTTGGCGGGATCGGGATCGTTCTCTTGGATCTTGCGCTGGACAAAAATCGGGCGAAGAGCGTCAAGGTTTCGTATGCCTCTGCTGGGGTTTCCTCCATTGTTTTCTCCTATGTTATGAGTATGCTCTTCATTCGCATTAAGATCCCAGCTTATCTGAGGTGAATTGTCATGATGCAGTTTTCCTTTGCAATGTTAGAATGGTAGATTGAAAGTAGAGGGCTTTTCGTCGTTGTCTGCCATAAACATATGAGCTGGTTGTATGTGCTTGTTCTGTGCAATTGGATCATTAATGAATGCTAGAAATGAATCAGAATGCTCTGCAATTCTAGGGTAGCAGATCGAAATTAGAGGGCTTTTCGCCATTACAAATTGGAAACGTGTTTCGGTTGATTGTGTATGTTGTGCAATTGGAATGCTGGAATGAATCAGAATGCCTGCATTTCCCTAATTTCGATTGTCTGTTCGCTGTGGTCGAATCAGTGAAGCATATAGCTTTACAGGATACTAATGGCATTGCAAGGTCCCAGAAAGACCAGAACTTGCTCTGCAAGAGCTCCAGCTAGCTGTTTCAAAACAGTACAGAAGTTCTGTTTAAAAAAAAAACTGACCTTCCAGTTCCAATTAAGCCAATCAAATGCAATGCTTCTCCAACCCTAAACCTCAGCCGGAATCGATGATGATCTTGCTGAGAAGGTTGCTCTAAGCTCTCTTTTAATGTTTAGGGTAGCAGAGGGGATTGATGATCCACCAACGCAATGATGGGAGAATGGATGGTTGGGGAAGAGCAGAAGGGCCTTCACCAGGTAATACGAACTCGAACGAATTGCTCTACGACTAGGCGAACTTCCCTCAAGTCTCGAATGAAAGAAAGCCCTCGGTTGAGTTGTGCATAAGATTTGATTTGCAAAAAGCACTGGCAGCTGCCTCCTCCATGGCTCCATCCACACTATTAGAGAAGAGGATACCCCCCATAGCCAACATAACCTTAAACAGAAGATCCCAATGTGTTCATTAACTCCATTTTCAGTGCCCATGGAGGAGAAATACAAAGACTACTGAGTACTGACAATACCTAGCGGATTTTTTGCTTCTCCATTTTGGGCTCACTTACGTTAAGCCCAAATGAGATACACAATAGCAGCACCGAAGACTTGGCCCTATTGAAGCACACAATGATTGAATGGGCATGTATCAACTTTGAGCCAGTCTCCTAAGAGCCAATTATTTGTTTGCTAATTGGCATCCATGTGAAGAAGAAGAAGAAGAAGAAGAAGAAGAAGAAGAATTTTGGTTATATAATAACACAACAGCAAAAGAACAAGAGGGGTGGTGGGATGGGAGTGAGGGAAGGAGGAGATTTAGTGGCCCCAACAATAAGAGATCAAAGCCCACCTTTTTGCCTTGGAATGTGAAGATCTCCACCATAGTTGTTGGGAAAGATCTTTTGAAAGAGATAAATTTTGATAAGGAAAGATACTAAGGAGATCATGTTTAACAAACTTAGATCACTTTTGCAACACAAATTAAGTGTCACATATTCAATTTTTAGGCGATCGGTTTTCTCGAGTTATTTGAGGGTCCATAAAAGACGATTTTTCAACTTTAGACTCGTTAAGTATAAATCTTTGAAATCCGTTCAAAGATTTTGACGTTCTCGGATCCGTACGAAAATCTCGAATAATCAATGCCCTTCACCTTGGCCAAGATCCCAAGACTGTTTTGCATAAGAGTCTTCCTTTCGAATCTAAACTCAAAGTTGATCGTGACATAAGTAAACTTTTGGAATTCTTCGTATAATCCACACATAAATCATTGTTGATGTAAGCACCCCGGAGTGCATACCAATGATTTCTCCCTCCCTCTAAAAAAAACAGGGATCAGCAAATGGAAGAGAAGAAACACAATCAAACTTTGGTACATTGCCCATTGTTATCAATAATGTCCTATTCCTAACCACTTAATTAATAGGGATGGCAATGGGCCGGGCCGGGTACGGATAGTGCATATCCGTTACCCTACCCATAGTAGTTCGGGTTTTACCCATACCCATACCCACATGTGAAACGGGTAGAAAATTAAAACCATGCCCATACCCGTTCGGGTTTCGGGTATCCACGGTTATCCATGGGTAACGATTTCTCTTCATAAATCCAACCAATATGTTAACATTCACACGTATTCTCACATTACTTAAGAGGAAAAGTATGACAATAACTCATTAGAATGAAGAAAATTAATTAAAACAACACAATTTCATGAAAATATTATATTTATATGCTAAATATAAAATATGTTAGAGAAATATAATGATTATTTATAGACAAAATACATATGTATGTGTATAATCGGGCGGGTTCGGGTTGGATAGTGAGAAACCCATGTCCACCCATTACCCGCAATATTCGGGTTCGGGTTTTACCCATACCCACTAAATGTCATTCGGGTTCGGGTTTTGCCCTACCCGTTTAGGCCGAGTTCGGGCGAATATCCACGGTTACGGATATTTTTGCCATCCCTATTAATTAATCCCATAATTATTAATTTTTAAAACAAATTGAACATGTAATTACTTGTTTCATATACAATTTGTGCCCCAGAAAGCCAAATGAGCTGGACAGAATCAGATTGGGAGAGACACCTGATCCCATGATTAAGACATTATAGATACCTACTTCCCACTAAAACCAGCAATTAAACAAAATATTTATAATAAAAAAGCAGTGGGAATTCGTTAATTAATTTAATCAGCCTGAGATCCGTCCCTAACAACAAGAGATCATCACCCGCACAGACATATATTTTGTGCAGGTTACTAATCGTACGTGGCTCCTTTGGCCACCAATAATAATCAAATCCCCAATTCATTTGGTTAATTAATCAATCATTTCTTAATCATTTTTAATATTAAGGTCCACTTCTTCTTGTATAAACTCTGAAGGAAATCCCCACCCTGGCCACTGCATTTCTGTGCAGTTTTAGAGTGAGAGAAACAGAGATAGTAGAGAGAGAGAGAGGAACCATTTTTGTTGGCTTAAGGAAGCTCCAATAACAAAGCCTACACGAAGCAATGATGATCCTGCAGGTTATCCTTTGAGGTTAGTATACAATTGAAATTTCTTTCATCCATACCTCATCCTTCCGTTCGATCCTCTTCATGTTTGTCTTTTCGTAGGTGTTGTCGATTTTTCTTAAATGCGAAATTAAAGTAAGATTGTATGGTTTTTTACTCCTTTGCTTTGTTAGTAATATGTATAAATGAAATACTACATGCGTATCGAGGTCAACATGTACTAGTGACACGACTTCTTAAATCTTAACCACTACACCACAAATGCTAATCGAATTAAACTCTTATAAAATTGAAAATGAAAAAAAGCAACGTTCCCGACTCGGTTTGAGCAGAGTTGAGGTTTTGGTTTGGTTTCGACCGAATATGATTAGGTTTTAGTTTCGGTTCGGTTGGTCTCGGAGCTGTCTCTTCTTCTGTACTTCTTTCCTTCTAGCTTGGCATTACGATGAAGTTCAATTTGAACCAAAGATGGATAGTTTTGTTTCTTTTCCCCTTTGATCATAAGGCCCAAATGTGAGCCGAATAAGATAGCGTCACTTGACTCAAAGAAGGAGCAAAACAAAACCAAAAAAGAAAGTAAGACATTTGGGCCCTTAATGGGCTGCTGGGCCACCGCCGGCGTCAGCCATCAGCCACTCGCGTCCTCGACCGTACAGCACAGCAGTCACCGGCGGTCCGGACATCACACGAGCCCAATTTCCGTACCAAAACAAAATAGTTTTTGTTTTATTCCTCTGAAAATAATTATTATTGTTATTATTCATCAGATTATGCATGAGAACAAGAAAAAAAAATTATAACACAGAGATTTTAATTTTGGGTACTGCAGATCCCAAATCTTCTTCCTGCCACCCCTCTGATTTCCATTTTCAGAATTTTATTTAAGATACTCAAGTTTTTCTTTCTTTATTTTCCCATTTTGTCATTTTTCGGCTATACAAGGTAAAATCCAGAGAATCTTCCATGATTTCTCTGCCCACAATGAATTTCGTTCTGGGTTGGTAGCTTGTGGATGAAATCTTCTACTAACAATATAACATTACCTTCACCAATCCATTATATAAACTCAACCTATATGTATGTCTAAGAAGTTGAAGTAGTGAGAGAGTTAGTAGTGGTTCAGATGCTTGTCGTTTTATCGATTGGTCCGAGCAGCAGAATCATCAACCGACTGTAATAGTGGTTTATGTTGCTGGATGGTTCGCAATGAACAAGCCCACTAAATGTATTATAGTGTGCTCGTGCTTATGTCAGCTTAGCTTTAAACACGAGACACGTCATGTTACATGAAGTTAGCAATTGAATATTTTTTCGTCGATGAATTTGAAATTTTAGTGGAAATGCAATCAACTTTTTTATGAAATGCAATCAACATCTGTTTCGTCGCTCTGTATAGTTATATCTGAGCATCGATAAAAGCTAACATCTCTCTAACCTTTTGGTTCCTCCAAAACAAAATTTGTAAGCTATAAATAAAAATCGATTACCTATTTATTTAGTACAACAATCCATCATGTAATGTTTTGTAATGCAATTGGGTTTGCACAAGTGGACACCGTGGGAGCATAGCCATAGTACAAAATTTATTGGAAAAATGTCATTAAAATCCATAGATTTGAAATCTACCCTACCCTACAACTTCATATCCCCTTTACCAAAGCTTCGGATCTCTGTAGATACGTCCTTTCAGGATTTCATGCAATGGATTTGGATGTTTACACTACTAGACTAGATATGAGCACTTAAACCGACCCTTTTGCACATCGATTTTACAATGCCAAATTGCCTATAAAATGAGCAGAAATGAGGAAAGAAGGGAAGTAAAGAGAAGAAGAAGAGAAAGATGCACATGGTGGATGCATAGTAATTGGTACATGACATCCTTTATATGGTTTGTGAAAGTTTTGTAAGATGGAAAAGGGTGCAAGATATCGAACTCGAGATAAATTCTTTTATCTAATTCTTTATTAGAAGTATGAAGACATATTTGGCCAAAAGACATATTCACCCTTTCTCTCTCCCTTTCATTCTCTCTGTCTTCTCTCTAGAGCATCCATTCCGGCCAAGTGTGGGGGCTGCTGCCGGCATCTCTCCGGCGGTCGGCGGCAGCCCTCCTTCCAATTTTTTTTTTATCCGTTCCTTTAACTTTCTGTGCGCTTGTTTTCTTTTTAGCTTTGTGTTTTGTTCTGCCTTCCATGGCTTTTTCTTCCCGTCAGTGGATCTTTCTTCCTCCCCCTCTGGTGGGTTGAGCTTTTGCCCTTCGATCTGGTCACTCGGATCTGGAGATGATGGTTCGCTTCTAAGATGCGATGGAGGCTAGATCTGGTCCAGATCTGGCTTGTTTTCTCCTTTTCTCTCCCTGGTCTACCTCCATGTCTCACCTTGCAGATCTAGGTGCGTCGGAGATGCAGCCCTTGGCGTTGGACTCGGAGTGAGAAGCTTGAAGACAGAGGTCCCCTTCCCTCTGGTTCCTTCATCGGCGATGGTCGGTTGTTGCTGTCCCTGGGTTCTGATTGGGGGTGGCTGGAGCCGATTGGCTCGGGAACGGAAGACGGGAGGTTCTCTTCCCCCTCCCCTTCTTTCGAGTTTGGTGGGATTCTTACGACTGTTGCGGCGATTTCCGGCGGTGGCGGCGCCGGGTGGGTGTTCTCGTCAACGGCTGTGGGTCTCGGCAGCGGCGATGGGGAACAAGAGGGAACAGAGTGTGCGATTTAGGGTTTTGAAACCCTTTCTTGTTTTGGCCCGGGGCCAGGCCCTATTGGGTTTCCGGCCCACATGTTTGGGCCCTTTTGATTTGGTTTCTGATCCAATTTCGCTGTACTCTGCATGTACCTATCCAATTGGGCTTTGGTCCGGTCGCATTCTTAATGACATTTCACTTCAAAAAAAAAAAAAGATTGAGAGAGAGAGTTGAAGTAGTATGTGTCTCGTTTTGGAGACTCATAAGTTATTGTTTTTTTTTCACCTTAGATTTTTTTGCCACGAAACGTGAGATCGAGCTAGAGGTGTTTTTGCTACTAGACATATGGATCTCTTTAGTCTTTGGTGTAACTTATGCGATGCTTTGTCTATTTATTTCGTGTCGTTAGTCAATCGACAAATAAGACTGCTAATATTGTGGCCAACTGAAACCTGTGAGTACCTCCATTATATTTTTATTCTTCTCTCAATCTTATTTTTTTTCTTTTATTTAAATTGCAGCTTTAGCGATTTTGTATTTTTCATTGATAAATCGAATATATTTACAAGAAATGAAAGGAAAACACACAATTGAAAACAATACATTTTTACCATCTAACCAATTCCTAGAACTCACAAATTACTCTCATAGTCTCATTCCTTTCCTTTACCCTTGGGAGATCTTTCACCTCCCAAGTCCAACAGAAACCAAACAAACAAAAGAAAGAAAGAAATAGAAAAAGACAAACAAACAACAAAAACCCTTTCCTCCAGAACCCAAGAACTGTTCTGGTAGCCTCATTTGCTGGAAACTAGCCATAGCCAGCCAGCCAGCCAGCCTCCCTCTAATCTATATCAGCATTGCACTAAAGAAGGTCCCTTTTCTTTCTGCAACCATTTCTGCCAAAAAAACGAAGGCAAGAAAGAAAACATACCCACACAACCCCCAAGCTCAAAAGTGAGTAGTAAGTAGCAACAGCAGCAGCAGCAGTTTTACTAAAAGGAAATCGCTTTCCTTGCCAATGGGAAATTGTCTGCCTGCTGGTCTGGGCTGCTTTGTTGTTTCTCTGTCTCCCTCCATTAACACCATTACTGTTCCATAGACAGAGAACCACCACCACCAGCTGCAGCTATCACATTGTAGCTGTCTGATTAATTGTTTTGCTGCTTGCTGCTGCTGAGCCTATCTTTTGCTCTCTTTTTGTCAAAATTGAATGTATGTGTTGTTGCTCTGTTTTGTTTGTTTGCCGCCATTAATGCCCTTTTTAGAAGCTCGACTTTATTGCTCCCCTTAATTCCCAATCCCACAATTTTTTGGGTTTCTGATTATTCAAAATCAGATTCAATTAGGGAAACAATCATAATCATATCCCCGTTTCCCCCTTTGATTATGCATTGAAATTCTACTTGGGAAAACTGGGATTTCTTCCCCCTTTTCTCTGCTCTGCCATTATCCCCACAAAACAGAGTGAAAAAAGGAACAGACTTTCTTCTTCCTTCTCCATTTTATTTTCATGGGTTCTCTTCCCTTTTCCCTTGTCCAGATCTCGAGACCCTTTTGCCTCCTGATCTCTCATCTACCGTTCTGTGATATTGACATTTGTTCAATAGTCATTTAATTCGCCGGGGGCACATTCCCAAACCTTTTTCAACTCAACCCCCAATCGCCTGTTCACTGCACCTTCTTCTCCTCTTTGTTCGTTCTTCTCTCGCTTCATTTCCTCCGCCATTGTCTCCTTCTCTCTCTCTGTTTCGTTTTACAATATACAGAGCACTTAGAGCAAAGCTGAAGCGTAAAAACCCAACCTTTTTGTTTGTTTATATTATCATCTCAGCTGCCCGTGTGGGGAAGAAGAAGAAGAAAAATGTTGACTTCCCCTCCAATTTTGATGAGGTGTTAGCTTAGCTCATTAAGCCCAGCAATTACGGGGAGGTCGGTGCCACAAAATCGGACGAGCTTTCGATTAGTTGCTTTGCATGGAAACCAAGGTACTAGGAGGAGTCTCTACTTTGGTCTCCTTCTCCATTTACCCTTTCCCCCATAATTGTTCTCTCTTCTTGTCATTTAGCCGAGTTCAGCGGCTTCCTGCTTCCCTTCCCCTTCCCAATTTCTTTATTATTCCCAATTCCCGCCCACATTTTGAAGCTCCTGATTTGATCTCCTGGCGTAATCCCATTGGTTGTTTGATTCTGAATATATGGTTCCTAGTACTTGCCCATGTTTGTTGAGTTTTTTAATACTTCCCACAGTTGGAAGTTTCCATTTTTATAATGTGGTAATGGGAGGAGAACTCGGGCCGTGAACTCTGCGAATTTTGTAGGGATTGGTGTTTGCTGTTATAAGGAGAGTTTGCTATTTGTTAAGCTTTTTCCTGTAATTTGATTTGTGACATTGAGGGGGGCCATTTTCTTGTTTGTTTTCAGGTTGTGGAGAAGTGCTAATCTCTCAGGAAGTTGGAAGTGATCAAATGTCGTTAGGAGAGGGATTTGGGTTTGAGATTTGGATGAGTGAGCCTCAGAGTGTTGAGAGAAGGCGCCAAAATTTCATGTCCCAAATGGGTCTTTCAAATGATGTGAGTAGCTCTTCAATGAGCTGCAATGGCGGTGAGGAAGAAATTGGTGGGTTGGAGTTGTTGGAGAGGGTTTCTGAGAGCAGTAATGCTGAATGTTCGTCGAGTTCTTGCACCGATGGAGATGAGATAAGTAGTTTGGTTTGTTTTGGGAGGGAGAGTTGTTCTGAAGCTAATTCCATGGTTGATGATGATTTGGAAGAAGAGGAGGAGGAGGAAGAGTTCATGGGAAGGAAACCAGGTAGTGGGAGCGAGAGCTTGGAAGGAGAGGTTTCGACATCTCAGAAAGGGAATGTCGAGAAGATGAAGAGACGGTGGAGCTGGAAGCAGTTCGTGAACAACAAGAAGAGGGATGATCAAGAGGTTATTAGTAGTGACTTGGTTTCCAAGGCAAGCAGCAGATTGGCCAAAGTGAAGTGCAACAAGAAGAAGTACATGGAGCTGAGTGGGTTGTTTGTAGAGCAAGAAATCCAAGCTCACAAGGGATTCATTTGGACAATGAAGTTCAGCCCTGATGGCAAGTACTTGGCAACTGGCGGTGAAGATGGCATCATTCGAATTTGGCAAGTTGGAACAACTCCTGCTGATTCCAAGCTTCCCGGGGCTGGCTTGAAGAAGGGTGGCGGCCAATATCACCAGCATCCTTCCGTTGTGATTCCTGAGATGGTTTTCAGAATCGAAGAGTCACCGGTGCACGAGTTTCGTGGCCATTCGAGTGATGTTCTTGACTTGGCCTGGTCAAGCTCAAATGTAAGACAATTGAGAGATAGAAAAAACCTTCAAACTATCATTTCATTACCAAAGTAGAAAATTCACTTTGGTTGACTGAATCTTGACATTTTTTCCTCTTCTGGTTTGTTTTGCAGTTGCTGCTGTCTTCTTCAAAGGACAAAACAGTTAGATTGTGGCAAGTTGGTTGCAACAATTGCCTCAATGTTTTCCACCACCGTAACTATGGTGAGTTTAAGAGGAACATATGACTAATTAGCTTTAGCTTTATCATTATCATACAATTCATTTACAATATTTGTTATGCTTTTGAAATCAGTGACGTGTATCCAATTCAATCCTGTGAACGAGAACTACTTCATCAGCGGATCAATCGATGGGAAAGTTCGAATATGGGGGGTGCACGAGGCACGAGTCATCGAGTGGGCTGATGTTCGAGATGCCATATCTTCCGTATGTTACAAACCAGATGGCAAGGGATTTGTAGTTGGCTCGATTCGAGGCAGATGCCGCTTCTATGAAGTATCAGGTACATACATAACCCTTTTCTGCAATAGAGCTCCATTGTCAAGTCTGTTCTTGGGTTGATGCACTTTTTTGGTCCCTGGAATTCGAAACGATTACAAACAAGTCCTTCGTTATATTCCATTAAAAGTTGGTTCCTTTCTTGTTGGAGATTATCTCTCTAACTGAGTTTCAACAAATGCAGCCAATGATCTGCAACTAGAGGCAGAGATTCGTATACAAGGAAGAAAGAGAACATCCGGCAATAGAATCACAGGCATTCAGGTCTGTTCAAACTTAAACTCCAAGCTCTCTTCAGTGCTGCAAAAAGCCATAAATATCACTGATCTAAACCAGATCTATCTTTCCATATTCTGCAGTTTTCCCAGGAAAAGGCACCAAAAGTTATGATCACTTCTGAAGATTCCAAAGTCAGAATATTCGATGGCTTTGACCTCATCCACAAGTTTAAAGGTAAAAAAAAAAAATCACTTAAACCTTCCCTCTCAGTAACTATACAATATTAAACTTTTCACATCCAATGCATAACATCCAACTGAAACTTTCTACAGCTGTATTTCTTGGAGAACACACACTGATGAGTCATATAGTTCTGAATCTGATGCATGAACCCTAACCAATATTTACTAATTTAGCAGTCTGCATGCAAAGACACGATCTTTTTCCCAATGGGATTGATAATCTAATCTCTCCATACAGTTAAACTAACTATGCACCTCGAATCTCGTTCCAATGTGCTCGATTAGCTGATGTGGCATCTGGGTGGTCACTGATCAGTCATTAGACTAAAATACTGATTAATCTATGTTATCTAATGACAGGGCTCCCAAGGTCAGGGAACCAGATGTCGGCTTCCTTCACATCAACAGGGAAACACATAATCTCGGTTGGAGATGACTGTCAAGTCTATGTCTGGAACTACAATGACCAAGGCAGCTTCTATGGTGGTGGTGGTAGCCCTGTCCACTCCAAACACATCAAATCCGAACAGTCCTTCGAGCATTTCTCCTCGCAAGGTGTCTCTGTTGCGGTGCCTTGGCCCGGAAGCAACAAGAGCAGTGGTAGTGAAGTTGGTGATAGTGGGAGTCAAGGCAGATTGCTTGGCCAGAAAGGCACCGGCCATGGTGGTGGTAGGAAGGTTTCCAAAGACATGGATAGGTTTTCGCTTGCAAATTGGCGCAACTTCATGGAGGGTGGACGTCGGGGGAACTCGTCGTCTGCTGCCACGTGGCCCGAGGAGAGGCTTCCCGGTTGGGACGATGGTGCGGTGGATCGGAAACCGAAGTGGTTTGATGCGCCGGCGACTTGGGGGATGGTGATTGTGACTGGAAGTTGGGATGGGAAGATTTCCACTTTCAATAACTATGGCTTGCCGATGATCCTGTGAGACAATGCTATGACTTGAGTTGGAAGCAAGGGAGAAAAACAACTTGTAGATGTTGAAGATAGAAGAGTGTAAAGATTTAGCTCTAGATGAAAATTAGGCTTAGTGTTCATTTTTCCTTAGAGAAAATCGTGGTTGATGTGAATAATTTAACTTAGTCGAAGCACGATTAAAGAAAGTGCATTAGGTTTAGTGTTCCTTTTTCCTTAGAGAAAATCGTGGTTGATGTGAATAATTTAACTTAGTCGAAACACGATTAAAAGAAAGTGCAAAGGAAAATATATGCTAATTCTATCGTTTGAAAGTTGTGCGTTGCTCATTCAAAAGATATAGTACGATGAAAATATGAAACTATTTCTTCAATGGCCTTTCTCTCTGTTGCGATTATAAGTTTATAATAAAAATATTTTATTTGATCGCACCGAACCAAATTGATGTATGGATTAGAACATACCAAACAGAATATAATACGATTCAGTCCTTCGTCTAATGAATTTTATAAATACTAAAAATAAATTGATCAAAATGACATTTGAAACAAACCAAACCACACCAAATTGAAGCAAATAAAATATTGATATGATTCTAAAATATCTTTCACTATTAAACCGTAATTTTCAATAGTAGTTTCCTTTTACCCAATTTTGTTTTTAATTTTCAGAATTAGCTCACTTTCTTCTGGTTGTAATCACATCAATGGTGTTGTGCTTTCAGTGAATTCCGACTATGTCTCATGGAAGACTTTAATCTCTCCGATCGGTTAGAGATTTTTAGCACCATGGTGGTGCCTTTGTAGTTGGTCTCTTTGCAGGGAAATTTTAGTGTTGTGAAAGTATGGTCGTGCACCTCCTCATTTTGTGACGGATAGCAAGTCTTGAGTTCATTTGTTAAATGATTTATTTAATCATGTCAAAGAATCTTCAAGGATATGCAAATGGCTCGGTCGGCTTCTTAGGTGATGGAATTATTTCATTTTATTTTATTTCAGCAAATACTATTACGATATTACTGATGCTCATAACAAAACTATTTGCTCTTAGTGAGAATGTGTGATGGTATCTTACTCATAAATGTATTAATTGTTACATATTGCTGGGTTTCTCAACTGGGCAACATGGATCGTGCATCGAGGAAGCCTTCCGAGTGCAGGAGCCACTTACAAGGAAGTTTTCTCTCTCTCTTCCTGCCTTTCGTGTCTTTTCGCTCCTTGGAGCTTTTTCAGAGCTGCCCATCTTGTAGCATTACAAGCTTTTTTATCGGGAATCCGATTACATAGGGATTACCGTTCTTTATCATTATATGTTTCTTATATTGTTGTCCGGCCATGCCCTAGTACTTAAATCACGCAATTTTCATGACTTCGAACCCGACGGTTTCACACCACTATACACCAGTACCCTGAAGAGTGAAGAGCAGCAAATTCATCCCTGCTTTGGTTATTGGGTCGATCAGCTTAGGTTTTGAGGTCCGAGTAACGCAATCCACAATCAGGTAGGCCCACTGAAAAGCCCGTTACGAGCCCAAAGACTGGACAGGACTATGCATATTTGGGCCGTCAATGAATAAAAATAAATAAATAAAAAAGATAATTCCTTCTTTTCTCCTTCGGTCATCATCTGTCACTGGATCCATCGGTTTACTTCTCCTCCAGCTTCCCCCAAAACCCTCAAATCAATGGCGTCTTCCTACACGATTTGGGCACTAATCCTCGCCAGTCTCTTCTCCGTCAACACCGCCTCCACTCTCCCCGGCGAAGATACGGGAGGCGGAAACAGCAGCAGCCTCTCCGCCTACCAGGTCCTGCAGCAGTACGACTTCCCGGTCGGGATCCTGCCCAAGGGAGTCACCGGATACAAGATCGACCGCGAAACCGGGAAGTTCGAGCTCTACCTGCCGGCGACCTGCAAGTTCAAGATCGATTCGTACGAGCTGGAGTACGGGACGACGGTCAGCGGCGTGGTGACCACAGGGAAGATCAGCAATCTGGAAGGCGTGAAGGTGCACATCTTGTTCATCTGGCTCAACATCGTCGAGGTCGTTCACTCCGGCGACCAGATGCAGTTCTCTGTTGGAATCGCCTCCGCTGGGTTCCCCCTCGATGGGTTTTACGAGAGCCCGCAGTGCGGATGTGGGTTCGATTGCGACGGGTTGGAGGAGGAGGAGTTGTTGGTGGGTTCTGCTGTTTCCTCGATCTGATTCTGTAACGAGGTGAGTCAGTAGTATTAATTAGATATATGAATGACGATTCCAATAATGAGGTGAGGAGAGGTAGTCGGCTAGTGGGTTCGATTTAATGATTTAGATATGAATGAATGGCATTTGTAAAAGTGATCGGAAAAGGGTCGATTTGGTTTCCTGTTTATCGGAACCAATCAATGGCTGAGCTTTCTTCCTAAGCCAGGTGAAAACTCTGTTTTTCATGAACCAGTCCTTTCCAGTTTCCCCTGTAGTTATTAGCATCGATGGGGAAGATTACAGCAAGTAAAGAATCTCCATATCCTCTCTGGAGGGTAGGGTTTCTCAAGAACAAGGTTATTCAGCTTCGTTTAAGCTTTTACCCAGGCATGGATTGAAGTTGCAAACTTGCAATACTGTTCTCTGTGATTGATTGATTGATTGATTGAGCAGAAGGTGGATTGTGGTAGTCTTTTGCCTGGTTTTGTCAGAATTGTCTTTAGCAATCTGCTTACGGGCTTTAGTAAAAATTAGGAGGTATTCTCCTTTGTTGAGACCCACATGATAATTTCAAGTATCTGGTGGTGTCCTCCTCTGTTGTACTATGTACATGTACACACAACTCCTAGCAGATCCTCCAAGTTCGTTTTGCTTACATTGGAGAATCTCGGAAATCAACTGGTAGCGTTTCGAGCATTACTCAGCTAGTCACAACCTCCTCATCCTAAACGTCTCGAGTTCTATTTTTAGTGTTGTTCGTTGTCCGTCGTGCTTGTGCGCTCTGTTGTGTTTTGTGGTTTGTTTTCTAGAGGTAGGCCGATGGTAGCGTGCAAGTTAGTTGAACAAAATCTACGTGTGCAAGTATATCTCCGATCCTTTTCCTCGTAGATATAATGCTAGTTGCTCGAGATGACCTGCTCGTCCTGGTGCCCAATCTTCGTATCCAGTGTAGACTCTGATTTCGTGGGTCGTCGGTCAGCTTTACTCGTGAACTCAGAGACTAACAGTGTGCTCCTCAGAGCATGTTTTTCGTATTAACTCGATCAACCCCCGGTCTTTAAGGGTTAGAGTTTAGTGTGGTTCCTCGAACGGGTTTGGAGAGACTGTGCAAGAGAACTGTGGGCTGAGGCAGTGGGTTCTGCAATCATAATGTGGGCTGAATAAGGTTGGAGAGGATTTGGTGAGAAGGAAGCTGCTTTGCATTTTGCTTGTGTCAAGTCAACTGTCAACCCCACTCCACCACTACCAGTCTACCACCACACCACCTCACCAACCTTTTAGAAAATTAGATCAATAATTAAAATAATTAAAAAAAGATTAGGAGGGGGATTAGTAGTCACTGTCTCACAAACCCTCACCAACCCAGCAACCCTCACCAACTGATCCTTCAATAAAACCCCAAAAGCCCATTTGCAGCCCAATTGCGCGTGTCCAACACGGCCCACCAACTCCCTACGCCGTCGTTTTGCTCTCTCACAGTCTCCCGGCCATTCTGCTGAAAATCCATTCCCACCAACTCCTCAGTGAGAGCTTTTTCTTTTCCTTCCATATATTAAGCACTCAAAATCCGCCATTTCCAATTTCCTCCTCCACCTTCAAAAATCGAATCCGAGAATCTCCCGCCGCCGCCATGGCGCTCAGCCTGATCCTAATCGTCGTCTCCCTCCTCGCCTCCCTTCCATTACTCTACTCCCTGCTCTACCGCCTCCGATTCAAGCTCCCCCCAGGCCCCCGCCCGCTCCCCGTCGTCGGCAACCTCTACGACATAAAGCCGGTCCGATTCCGCTGCTTCGCCGAGTGGGCGGACCGGTACGGCCCGATCATCTCCGTCTGGTTCGGCTCCACCCTCAACGTCGTCGTCTCCAGCACCGCGCTCGCCAAGGAGGTCCTGAAAGAGCACGACCAGCAGCTAGCGGATCGGCACCGGAGCAGGTCGGCGGCGAAGTTCAGCCGCGACGGGCAGGATCTGATCTGGGCCGACTACGGGCCGCACTACGTCAAGGTGAGGAGGGTTTGCACCGTGGAGCTCTTCACCCCCAAAAGGCTGGAAGCGTTGAGACCGATTAGGGAGGATGAGGTCACCGCCATGGTTGAGTCCGTTTACCGCGACTGCTCCGATTCTGGTTCGTTAACTTAATCCTTACCTTTCTTCAATTAGTAATTAGGGACGAGAATTGAATTGAATTGAATATAATTGCTCCCCTGTTTATGTGTTAGATAAGGTTATGTGGTTTGTGGAATCTTATCCTGTGTTTGATTAGGGATCAAGCCGATCTGGTGGTTTTATCACGACGAATTCGAACCTTTGAATCAATTTGTAGACCATTCTTTTCAATGGTGAGACAGTGGAGAGTGAAAGAATTGGAATTTTCCGTTTCCTGATTTTGGGGTGGTCCTAATTTTGGCAGAGAAGAGCTTGCAAGTGAAGAAGTACTTGGGCGCGGTGGCGTTCAACAACATAACGCGGCTGGCATTCGGGAAGAGGTTCGTGGACTCGGAGGGCGTGATGGACGAGCAAGGGCTCGACTTCAAGGCGATTGTCTCGAACGGGCTCAAGCTAGGAGCGTCCCTTTCCATGGCGGAGCACATCGAGTGGCTGCGATGGATGTTCCCATTGGAGGAAGGTGCGTTCGCTCAGCACGGTGCACGCAGGGACAGGCTAACTCGGGCGATCATGGAGGAGCACACCGAGGCTCGCAAGAAGAGTGGGGATACGAAGCAGCATTTCGTCGATGCGTTGCTCACGTTGAAGGAGAAGTACGATCTCAGCGAGGACACCATCATCGGACTTCTCTGGGTACGTTTTTTTTCTCTTACTGAATCCAAGCTTCCTTCACTTTGCTCGAACTAGATGTTGATGTTTGGAATGCTAAATGATAGTTGCTTCGTTTATCTTCGTCTGAGGTTGTTTTCTCCCCTCAAAGAAAAGGTCAATTGGATTGTTTGATTAGCTCCTCTGGTAGGGTAATCGAGGGCATAAAACCATAGACTATGTTATTGAAAATTTTGAAACGTTGCAGGACATGATCACGGCAGGGATGGACACGACAGCGATCTCGTCCGAATGGGCGATGGCAGAGATCATCAAGCACCCGAGGGTCCAGCAGAAGCTCCACGACGAGATGGACCGGGTCATCGGATTCGAACGAGTAATGATCGAGTCCGACTTCTCGAGCCTACACTACCTCCAATGCGTGGTCAAGGAGTCCCTCAGGCTGCACCCTCCGACCCCTCTAATGCTCCCCCACCGGTCCAACGCCAACGTCAAGATCGGCGGCTACGACGTGCCCAAGGGTTCGAACGTCCACGTCAACGTGTGGGCGGTGGCTCGTGATCCGGCGGTGTGGAAGGACCCGTTGGAGTTCAGGCCGGAGAGGTTCATGGAAGAGGACGTGGACATGAAGGGACACGATTTCCGGCTGCTGCCCTTTGGTGCCGGGAGGCGGGTTTGCCCCGGGGCGCAGCTGGGGATCAACTTGGTGACTTCGATGTTGGGTCATTTGTTGCACCATTTCCAGTGGAGTTCGCCGGAAGGGGTTAAGCCGGAGGAGATCGACATGTTGGAGAATCCCGGGTTGGTGACTTACATGAGGACGCCGGTGATGGCGACGGCGACTCCGCGGCTGCCTTCTCACTTGTACAAGCGTGTGGCTGCGGAGATGTAAAAGAAAAGCCGGTTAGGAATGTTTGTTGTACATTTGTATTGTACTCTTGACTGAAAGGCGAGGATTCCAAAAACTTTGAAGATGGTTTTTTTCTTCTGTACTTGTTTGTATCATTTACAAACTTCTGGCATAAATTTGAAGAACCCAATTTTAGTTTTGGGTGTTTTTTTTTTTTTTGGATATTTGATATGAGAAGATTAATTCTTAGTATGGTTGAATGTGCTGTATGTGGAAGGATGAAATTGAAAACGAATTATGAACTTCCGGTGGATGACACATTCTTTCACTCTCTTTTCCCCAACTTCCACTTTCATGCGAAACTTGGGTTCAATAGTAAATGCATACCTAACCTACCAACCTAATCACAACTCACTTTTTATTTAATTATTCATGAATATTTTGATTGCTTTTTTTTTTACATGCTACTAAAGATGACGGCCGAAATGTAAAGTTTATTCTGAAATTGGAACATGAAATCTAATAACCAGTTGTGTAAAACCACTAGATCAAGTCTTATTTTGCAATAGTTACGACTTACGAACCAACTCAAATGCTTAGCTTTACTAACTCATCTTCACTCAAGATATGGAGAAAGTAGAAATTCATTTAAGATGAAATCTTTGGCGCGACACGACATAAAAAAAATCTTACGGGTATTAACGAAGTCTGATGGAAACTGACAGCGGGTGACTTACAGTGAAATGATTTGTCAAGTTAGTGAAATGATTTGTCCGCAATTGTATTGTGTTCACGAAGATCTGAAGGCGCAGGTGCAACAGGTCCAGGGGTAAACAATATGTATAAAGCGTTGGCCAAATTGAATTGAGTCATTCTACTTGGAATATGAAGATTTTTGCTTAATTGCTTTGGTTCGTGATGCAACTATGTTATGTTTGAAGGTAGACCAACGCAAACAACAGCACAGCTCCAGGGCTATTCTGCACAGTAGGTAGTTGGGGCATTAATTGATAATTATTTGGGATTATTCCTACAAGTACATAATTTGGAACGTGCCATTATATTGCATTGATTAATAGTTGTTTGAGATTTTTCAAATGAGTGATTTGACATGTTAAACTCTCTTATTTTTGAAAATGGAGTTTTCGAAGTGGAATATGAAGATTTTGGATTAAGCTTGGTTTCGTAACGCCCTTATGGGTGTTTATTCTCTAAAATGCAGCTGTCTTTCAAAGTGCCCGTTGCAAATGGCAAGTCAGGATACAACGATGGTACCGGTACACGTTTATATCATTAGTAGGTAGCAGATTGTGTCCATTCTACTATATCATTTAGCTAAATACTTAGTTGTTCTTTTCAACTAAAAATTATGCTTAAATGCTGTGATTGGCCTCAGAAATGTATGTCTTTGCATTAACTGTTAATGATTGTGAGTTTTGGTTTAATGGTGAAAAGTCCATTTATTTAGAAGTCTAAATTGGGCAAACCTATTGGACAATAGGAATGCCATACATTAGTGTCGTGGGAGGTTTGTTTGATGTCTCAGGGTGTTAGATTTTTAAGAAGGTTGTTTGTTGTGGCAGAGAGTCCCTAAAGCTAGCAAGGTATTCCTATGTGGGCTTTTTCTTTGTTTGACTTTTTCTCGCTTTTTTTCTTATCTCTTTTTCTATTTTTGGTTTTTGTGTGCTACCTTCAGTTGCTACGTCTTCATTTGTGAGCCATCTATACTTTTCTTATTCAGTGCCTAAAAATCATATATACTCGATTGCATAGTAGTTACTAATAGATACATTTATACCAATAGAGAGATTTTAAGTTTTATCAGTTGTTAGTTTTCATATTTACTTACATTGGTTGTTTATGTAGTTTGCTTTGTAATATTTCTCATTATACAACTAATTACTATGGCTACGTAGTTGTATAAGTGGGGGTTGGACATGATAGTTCTTAGAAGCATCAATACTTGAAGGTTATTATAATGACCAAATTCTAAAGTTATGGTTTGCCTTCAACTTGCTTGGAGCATTTCAATTATGCATCAATTGTTCTCTCCGTGTAGTTAACTCTCAGACAAATCGAAAATCTTGCTGATATGTGCTTGATTGTAGTTAAATTTAGGGTTCTACTGCATTGTTGCTTTACTCTTTTTTCGTGGTTGAGTCTGCTTCAAAAAATTTAGTTTGATTTTAGAAAATTTTGCTTCTGCAGTCCTGTCTTGCCACCAACGCGTTCAATAGATGGAGACGGGAGAGGCGAAGGCTATTTTTGTGTTGTTGTTGCTGGTTTAGGGATCGGTTTGTGAAGAAGAGGGAGAAGAGAGGGGGAAAGGGAAATGCAGGAGAGGGGGATAACTCTTTTCTCCGACAAAAATGGAGTGAAGAAAGGAATTATGATCAGTAAGAATATGGTTATCTTACATAACGTTCTCTATTCTGTTTGAATTGAGCTTGAGAGGCAGTGATAAGGACGAGCTGCAACCAATTCATAGTGAGAAGAGAGCTATGAACTGTGATCGTGTCTTATTTCAAGTTAGAAGGTAGTTTCAGTATAAGGATTATTTAATTTGACAAGTTGTTTCGTCCATGATTCTTGGTAGTTTCAGTGCCATTCTAGCCAATGTTTAGTATGTAATTTTTGAGAATTGATGTGCGAGTAATGACTTTCACTTAGCTTCAACTATTATGTGTGTATTTATTGGCATGTGATAGAATTCTCTTTTCCTTTTCATTGAATTCATTTTCATACTCTAATTGTATTATTTGTACATAGGCAAATCATGCTCGAGATGGCAACTCGCTGATATGGCTGGTGCAAGGAATGAAGCCATTATTAGAATTCAGACCGACAACGGGGAGGGATGCCCAGGACTAATTCAATGAAGATTGATGATTGATGATGGTATAATAAAAACTGCAGTCTGCATCAGCACAAATTTCTAGGCCTAAGTAAAGGTATTCAACCCAGAACTCTGCTTAGCGCTAAAAATTGCCCTCACCCAACCTTGATCCTGTTTGACCCACTTCTGAAGAGTCAAGATATATGACTAATCCTCCCCGTTCGTATTTTCTTATTGACTCTTTCTGACCCTGTAGGTTGGGGCGGGTCGAGAAGAATTGGATTAGTGGGTCGGTCCTAATCAAGTGGAATCTCAATCCCTTCACTCTCACTTGCTTTCTCTCCCATTCCACAAGTGGGTAACATACAGTAATCCGGCCAACGGGCCGGGTAATAAGCTAGTTCTTAGTATGGTTGAATGTGCTGTATGTGGAAGGATGAAATTGAAAACGAATTATGAACTTCCGGTGGATGACACATTCTTTCACTCTCTTTTCCCCAACTTCCACTTTCATGCGAAACTTGGGTTCAATAGTAAATGCATACCTAACCTACCAACCTAATCACAACTCACTTTTTATTTAATTATTCATGAATATTTTGATTGCTTTTTTTTTTACATGCTACTAAAGATGACGGTCGAAATGTAAAGTTTATTCTGAAATTGGAACATGAAATCTAATAACCAGTTGTGTAAAACCACTAGATCAAGTCTTATTTTGCAATAGTTACGACTTACGAACCAACTCAAATGCTTAGCTTTACTAACTCATCTTCACTCAAGATATGGAGAAAGTAGAAATTCATTTAAGATGAAATCTTTGGCGCGACACGACATAAAAAAAATCTTACGGGTATTAACGAAGTCTGATGGAAACTGACAGCGGGTGACTTACAGTGAAATGATTTGTCAAGTTAGTGAATAATAAGAAAGAAAAGTAATTCAGAGAATAAACGTAAAAAATTTATATAATTTAAGTGACAAAACATATAATTTAACCTTTTTGATTTTCTTATAAAAGTTAGAATTTTTTTTTCTGCCAATTCACTCCATATTGGATGTCAAAATGGGCTGAACTAATACCCCTAGCAAAACTACTTCTTCACCGGCCCATGAGAGCTGGTTCTGCCATGATGTTTGGGTTTCTAAGACCTGGCATCTTTCAGCGGGAGGGCCCAAGGACCATTGCAAACTAGGCCTTACACTTGAGCCCATATTTCGGATGAAAGTGGCTGAATTACACCATTAGTCACTCCGTTTATAAATATTTTCTTTCATTAGCTCTTTCACTGTTTATTACAGGTCGTCCATTTTTGTCAGTCTCCATTAACATCGTCATTTTTCTATGACATGGATGAAAGATGAAAGTGCCGATTAAACTAACAAATTGTTGAGCCACCTAAATTAAACGTAAACTAAAATACACTCAAATCGTATAAAAAGCGAAACTCACTTAATCAACTTAAAACCCCATTTAAGAGGATGATATAAACATTTCTTCAGTCTCTAGTGATGTCCACTCCATAAAACAAATCTTTGACAAAAATATATACATATGCTCATGAAAGACATTTTTAATTAGCACTGAAAAAACTCCCTTAAAATTAAAAGATACCCCAAATTAGTCCCTTGACTATATTATATAACACACTTTGCCCTTTTATGTAAAAAAAATCCTTTTGATTGACGTAGGTTAAGTACTAACTATTTATGTGATGAACTATCCCATCAATCCGGTCTATGTTCATGAAGAATCAAAGGGGGAACACAAGGAAAATAAATTGGATTGAATTAAGAACATCCCACTTCACATATATATAGTCTAAACTTGATAATTAAGCATCTGATACTCACCAATTAAGACTCTGTATTATGTATCGATCATTAACTAAGCCAAAAGGATATGATAATAGAAAATTTGCTTTCGGTTACTCGTTTTGAATCAACCTTAAGAAGCTAGCATTCAAGTTTAGGTCATATATTATCTTGGTAGCTTAGTTTAGCTATGTAGGGAAGAGACTTTTGCCATTGCCTGGTTTTGGCTACATGTGTACACATAAATTAAAAACCCTAATATAAAGGTATTAGCTAGGGTGTTTGAAATTCTACAAACCCTAATTATATAGTTAGTGGTTCTATATTGCAGTCTCAAATTCTCATTTTCGCTCCGACCGATCATATTGGGTATCTGTTTTATGAGTAGGTTATGATTAGTGATCGGGGTGAGTGAAATTTTTGTCTTTTCTAGCGTCATGGAGAGGCCTTGCCACCTTGGTACCATGGTTATTTCTTTTCGTCCCTTTTCTCAACAATTATAGGAGAAGCGAAACATCCTTTGGTTGCAATGATATATGATGTTGATATGGTTCGTTCGTGTATTAAATACGAGTCTTTGGCAATGCACTTCACTAATTAACTAGTGTATAAAAAGTTTTTCTTATGTCATTTGTAAATAATTAACATTGAAATCGTAAATCTAAATAAATGGGTGTTCTCAAATGTTTATT